GTTCTCGCGGATCAGTGCTCATCGCCCTGATCGATTCCGATTCCTCAGAGGTCGTCAGTCCGACCACCTCTGATGCCCATTAATCACGTGACAGTAACTAAAGGAAATCCTTGGATCGTCTAGCTAGCCTAGTCGATCCCTATTTGCTATAAGAGCTATGATAGTGCTTAACCTGTCAGGGCGCCGCCTGGTCTTCACTCATCACGTGCGTGCACATGATTCGTGACATAAAGGGGGGGAGGGGTAGAGTTAAAGGAGCGTTCGAGTTAAATTCGAGAGAAGGAGCGTTATAGATAAATTTAAGAGTAAGAGTATTTAAGTTAAATTTAAAGGAAGGAGCGTTATAAATAAATTTAAAAGTAGGAGTATTTAAGTTAAATTTAACTTTATTTACTTATATTAAGTACTTTTACCTTTAATTCTAGCGCTGTTATATAACCCTAACCCTAAGCTAGTTTATAGTTTACGAATTACGATTTCGTACTAAATAGGATTAAAATTTAAGATTTACGATTTACGAATTAGTATTAAGTCTATTCGGCCTATTAGTATATTCAGGATGCCGTACCTACCCAGCTATGGTTTATGTTTTATAAGAGTGGCTGAAAAGTATTTGTTGACTTTTCAAAAACGTTTCCCTGAGGTCTTATAGATCGATATATTGATCTGATTGCCCCTTATTGTGGTGTTTGTATGTTTAGACATCTACGGGTCGTTTGGTGACGAGGAAGCAGATTTGTGACTAAGACTTATAATTTATACATTCTCAATCAGTTTGCATTTTGAAAAGGTCATACTAAGTCACCCAGCTATTTCTCCATCACATCCAATAACATCAAAGAGAGATATAAAAGCATGCTTGTCCCTATCAGACATGATGGAAAACATTTGTTCCCATTATCCAGCACCTCTTCAATCGATCTTCATGAAAAACAACCTCTACATATCAACTAGCAGAAAAAAGAGAACTTAGCAGGATAGCTTTGCAACTTATTGCGAAATCATGGCTTCAAACGTATCCACAGGAGATGGATCGTCTCAACCATCTTCAAATCAAACTACTTCCAACCCGCAATCAAAAACTCCCAGCGAAGATAAAGTAAGCGGACAAGAAGCCTCTGTAACGAAGAAAACTCAATATTCAAACTATAGAGAAAAACATGAATCGGTTTCGAGGAGAGAAAGAGAAGAAGTACTGAAGGCTACGGAGGCGGAAGCTAGAATGATTCATGGGATTTTGAAATGATGGCGATCAAGAGTCGGATCTGACTTGAGATGTAGATTAGTTGGATAACTGGAGAAATGGGAAGGCTTTTTGATTACATGAGTAATGCTTTGCCTAGAAGTCCTTAGATCAATCATGTAATACAGAATATAGGCTCTCCTTTCCAAATTGAACCCAGCATTTCATCCTTCCCAAACAGCTTCTAAAATCCACAAAGACGCTCCCCTAGGTTGTTTGCCACCCAAAAACTTGAATCTTGGATCTGCATCCTCAAACAACTTTGCCCAGTCTTCCAATTCTCTTTCTCTCGCATTCTGAAGCTCTAACATCGTCAAATCCATTGCTCTTACTTTCTCCTCCCGCCACATCGGCAGCACACCAGGTTCTGGGAGGACGTTGTCGTTGATTAGGATCTTGGCTCCTTTCTTCAAAGCTGGTATAAGCGCTTGTAGGATCTTGATACAGTTTTTATCGGACCAGTTGTGGAATATCCAGCGGAAGAAGTATATATCGGCGCTATGGACTGGTTGTTCTTCGAAAAAGTCGTGGGCCATGAATTGGATTCTTTCGGAGAGATCCTTAGGAATAGTTTTTGCTCCTGCTTCTACAACTGGTGGGAGATCTTGCACAACAAATTTCAGAGATGGAAAGAGGTTTGAGAGATGAGTACAAGCGAAACCGTGGGATCCGCCAACCTGATCCGTATTAGCAAGCTCTCTCATATCGTGTCCTTCTTTCTAACAGAGATTTGAACTTACATCAACCACAGTTGCATTTCCAAATTCTTTCCACGGGTAGTTGTCCGCTACAAACTGGATATCGAATCCTGTCTCCTCAATATATGCCTTCATAGCACTCCCAAAGCGGCGCGCCCTTTGAGGATCGCCAGATAAGTTTTCGAAGGCAGATTTTGTTGTGTTGTTTGCCAGAGCAAATCCCTAGACTAACCAGCAAATCATTTATCTATCTCATAGGTGTTGGTTTACCGTTTCATTTGGTTCTTGAGAACCTGGGAATTTCACCATTGCATTCACCGTTTGTGAAGCTGCTTGCCAGAGATCATCTGATGCTACTTCCGCCTTTTGACCTAGGATCTGTTCCCTTCATCGGCAGTGCAGTCAACGTGTATGAGTCACTATTGGTATCTTATAAAATGGAGAATAGGCGAAGCCGCCGCGCATCTCGTCAATGTTGGCCCTTGAGCTACAAGAGGCATAGCAGACAGCCAAATAGCCTAGGCAAGGAACGGGACGGCTACTCGTATCTTAGAAGATATCCCCTGAGTTTTCTCATGACAAGTAACTAGTGGCTACTTGATTTATTGACATGTGTGTACAAAAAGAAATTCCGCAGGATATACTGAAACAGGCTCTCCCTTTAATATTTAGAACGATTGGATACGGCAGTAGACTTATGAATTCTATCAACAATCGTTATTGAATGATTACGATGTTCACGATGATTTCCTTGTGAGGTAATGGTGGGTGGGCGAGTGCAGGATGCCAACAAGACAACAGGGTTCGTCAGTCGGATCAGCGCGGGAAATTTCTAGGTTCTGAGACGTCCGTCCCTACATCCTCTTCTCAAAGGTAACAATAAACAAGGGTTATCTACTAGTGTATTGCAGGGTATTTGGCAAGGTATTTTGTATGTCAATTGATTTTTTAACAGGTTCTAGGGTAGCGAAACATCGTGCTATTTTTGAAAGGGGTCCGTACCAAATTATAAGCTACTTGGACGACGGGCGAGAAATAGTTTATGTCTTCAAAATTCTGCCCGATTATCCTCGCCTTGTGGAACCAGTTAGTCAAACGGTGGTAACGCAAGTATCATTGTGCTTCGGAGTATCAGAGGTCGTTACAATAATGGAGCTCACTGGGTATGAGTGGGCCCGTTTTCCGTTTTAATTGGAAAAGAAAACGTTAGTATCTGGCCCCATCCGCATTCAGATGGGTACTCACTCACTAGAAGGTTAAAAATGCGAAGTTAAGTCTCCTAAGACGTCTTTATTTAAGTTGTTGAATTAAAATCGTCAGCTGGCAACTAGATAGGGAAAGCCATAGAATTCTCGAAAGCTGCTCTCCTCTACAAAGGCAACTGGAATTTCTTACCTTTGATTAGTTTTCTTCCTCTCATGTCCAAAGAGCGTTCCCCAATAACTACACCTAGTAATTGCAAAACCTGCTGTCAAGACGTTTTAGTAGCTTAATATTCCAAATGCGGAAACAACAACCTCTGCTTTATTGACTCTATTAAAACCCTAAGAACGTAGAATAATTGTGAGCCTATAGGGAGATAGCCAAAAGAAGTAAAAGACAAAATTAAAAATGACATCGACTAAAAAGACTTGGAAAGACTCGGAAGAGAATGGTATGTAGTTTATTCTAGACCATTATTTCTATGTTCATCTGTACAACGTGATTCAAATAGACAATATGTACGAGTGTAATCATTACCCTTTACAGCGTGTGCAGAAACGGATGAAGATCCGGGAAAGAAAAGTGGATACATGCTGTTAGTGGCGCCCTGGCAAAAAATAAGACTGACTGACAACCGTTATCACAATAAAATACTTGCGCATTTATCTTGATGTTGCATGGTCCATGGTAGTCTGCCATGACTGACCCCCGTCTCCTTCTAGGCAGAGAAATGACGCCAAGCCTCGCTTAAGCTGGACCTACTGTACTGTAGTCTGTCACGTGTCTGTGAAACATCTCAAGTAGCAAAAAGAGTAGATATTGAGAACCCGTGGATTATTCCAAGAATGGCCTTCGGTGAAGACCATGGGTTGCGTATACGGCCATGCAGAATATTTGCATGGGCTGTATGGATGGATTTGCGTTGAGTTTTCTAGCTTACTTACTGCAAGTATGGCACACGGAAAAGAACGAGGGAACCCAAGAAAGAAAGATGGTTTCGATGAATAAGAAAAAATGGCGAGTTTTGAACAGTCTATCTGATTGTTTTTCCTTTATATATTCCTTTGCGGTAGATGGCCCCTTGCTGGCCTTCCTTTATCGTGCTTGTTGTGTTGAAGTGATCATTTTCTACCCCCTAACCTCCAAAACTTGTCGGGTCAGCTCCTCTCGAGTTTTTTTTGGTTGTCTACCTCGTCACAATTCCTGAAAGAAGAAGGTGGTATTTAAACAAGGCGAACACTGCGGCGTTTCCGTCTTTACACCGCCATAGGGAGGAGTCGTAATCGTTTCTTTACGCCACGTGCGTCGATATCCTCTGTAAAATGTATGTCACTATCACGAACTTTCCATACATCAGGCACAACTCTTCGAGGCTTGCAAGAACTTGTCACGGTACATTCAGCTATATGTGGAAGAACTTGTCTTCCTTCAACTTCGAAAAGCATTAAGTGGGACTAAAAAATCAATCCCGGGCTGCGAGGTGAAAACTAAATACTCTCTGGATCATTCTCTTGATCTAATTAAACACATGTATTGTATCCCCATATCAGGATCTTATCTCTAAGCTTCCCGTCCCGGTAGTTCCCTGTCATGTGCGTGATACTGCGTTGAGTTGCTGGAAGAGCCACCCACACCACCCAAATACTCGGGCCGCAGGGTACCGACCTACAGAAGGGGGCTTGGGAGAGGCATGGTAAGGAAATTGATCGAAACTATCATTGGTGTAGGTATCAGAAGATGTGCTCATCATAGGCCAAAGAAAAGAGTCACACCCTTCCCCTGTTCAAACATTTGCCTTGAAGCAAGTAGAAGTACGAATATGCAGCACAGAGCATGGCGAAATGTTTCCGCAATCTTCAAATTCTCAGTTCCCATCTCCAACTGAGCTACCTGATCATCATTACGTCAACCGCAACTTCTTCTCCTACATGTGCCAACAGTATCCCACAATGATCCTTCCGCAATAATGGCACTGCGTTGGGGTCCAATATGGGGAAGGATATGTACTCAGAGCCTCAAACAAACATTGCCGCTCACGGACGAGGGATTGAGGTCTGTCGGATGTGAAATTGAGACCGCGGAAGTTGGTCAAGCAGTTGTTTCCTTGAACCTCTTCGATAAGTAGCTGGTCCTTGCCGTAGAAGGCTGTCTCAGGCGCTGAAAAGAGCACAAAAGTGTTAGTTCTGGCCCTAGCAGGGAATCAGAAGGTTGCTACTTACCGAGCGAAGATGTGCGATAGGAAACCGAAGCTGGATCGCGTCGAACCTCCGGATTTCTTAGAAAGAGGGGGACTATGAGAAGTTAGTCAACAGCGCTGGGACGAGGATATTCGACTCCCGAACTCACACTTCCGGTTCTCCCCTCTTTTGATTCCTCCATGAATCTCCCGGTCATGACGGAGCATGTTTTGTTGGGCGGTAAACGTTTTGTTGCAGCCCCTTTGTTGACAAGGGATGCGGTGGCGAACACTTGCAGAAGTCATATTGTTAAAATCTGGATTGCCTTGGGAGACTTGTATGACATCCATAACGAGGGGCACCAAGAGAGCATTATATAAAACCAGGACTGTTTGTTTCGATGCGATACCAAGCGGAATCGGCTGGTTGGAGAAGCATGTTCGTGTCGTACTGCACCGAATACAGAAAGGTCTTCGGGCAAGCAAACATACTCGCCCATACGATTCGAATATTGAATATAATAAAATGCACGTTGCCGTTGCCGTTGGCGGCAGCATCAGAGTACTTGCGAAGCCATCCTTGGCTCAAGCGAAGAACCTCTTGAGGGGATTTGTCGAAACTGCCTGGTTTGAATCTGCTAAAGAGAGTTGGTGTGCATACAATAGCCGTCGTACCAACAACGACTGTAGGATTTCTTTAGGAATCTTCAAAATGAGAGACGGTGTTTGCCCTGAGGGCATACGCTACAAAGGCTTTGCTGCCGGCGTCAGCCAACCCCCCTGAAAGACTGGTTAGTGGTATTCCGCCTTCCGGTAAATTAAAGTAGCTGCAGCAGCCTTGATAGGGAAAGGCTCTCAGTCTCCAAGGTCATCCACGCGTCGTGCGGAAAACTGATAATGTATCTCTCATCGAAAATCTATCAACTTACCCCAAATCAGCACGGCGATCTACAGCGGAGATCATTGATAGATAGATCTCATTGCAGAGCCACGGCAGAGCTACGCAGTCAGAAGACCTGGAACGATGAAATTATCAGCCGTTGACCTGAACCTCCACTGGTTTTCTTCGAGACGGGGAAGATGCGACGCCAAAGCTCTGCCATCTCCCGCATCACCAGCATCTTTGGATGAGGCAGATAAATAACACATATTCTCCTAAGCGCTGATGTCAGAATGTGAGAGATCAGGAGTGCGGAATGGGTCGCCGAGTGATTTTACGTGCAAACACCTCTTCAGCTATTCTCTTCCACCCCCCCTCTCCCCCAACCGAGTCCCAGAGTTTCTAGCTGACCAAGTTGCATACCTAGGTAGTACGCCTCCCGACGATACCCCAACCTACCAATGAACATTCGAAACTAGGACAAACGAAAAGGAAGAGAAATTGGAAAATGTTTAGGGACTTTCCGACGAGACGCACCGAAAACACACAAACAAGGGCAGAAGAGAAGATGGAATATACTTTGGAGGAAACATGGCTATGATGTTGGATAGCAATGTCTCGTTCGCTTGAAACGATGGCAGAGAGTGGAGGGAAATCGTTGCTCTGGTACCTAATTCGGGCAAGAGATTTTAGGGCCATGCCTGAACATCACTGCCACACCCGCCCGACGGCCTCCACGTCCCTTGGCCTAGATGCTCGCGCAGCAGCGCCTACGATATAACTACCTTCTTTCGGCAAGTAGGACCGAATTCACATCTCCCGGGAACAAGACGTGCACTCGAGCCTTGCCCCGACCCCCCTCTCTAAGTCGAGATTTTCAACGGCGGTTATAAAAGAAAAGATGAAGCAGATATGACATGATTGTTGGGCGACCAATCCAAGCTTACCAATGTGCCCATATTCTACACACCATCTGCCAGCGGCCTTCTTGCAGAAAGGAGAAAAATAAGGAAGCGCACTGGATGGTACTGTATGAATATTGATGGCCGGTGCCTAATGTGATGTGATATTCTTTACACTTTTGAAATCCTTTCCCTCCAAGCCTCTCAAGAGGTAGGTTTTTTTGGTTTGGCCGCTCCATAAAAAAACAACCGTTCACAATCCAATGGAGACTCTCCTCTATATTCCAGATGTATGGGCCAAGAAGATGGACACTCGAAGCCGCGATCCCCCTGGCCCGAGGCTTTCGACGCACTACCTATCCGCAGTCTCTCTGACAAAGTGCCTTTCCGAACGCTGCTCTCCACGACTGGAATCCTTGTCCAACGATGTGATTGTCGAACTTGTGCAATTCTTCGCCGGAATTTATGGATCTATGAAACCCCAAACAACTGCGCAGACGCCACGTTTTGCCCGTCGAGAATCTGTCGCTTTCTCACAAATTGTTATGCCCTTCCCCGCCAACTCCAATCTCCAAGATGTGAAGGTGCCAGGCCGGTGACTGGGCGACACGGACATCGGAACCTAGGAAAACAATTCCATATTGAACGTGACCACGCACCTCCTTACAGACCCTCGAGCTTCCGAGTTTTATGGTGAGGTGGCACTCCTGACAGATCTCGGTGCATGGCATGAGAAATTGACGATTACTCCACATCCCCGGGGCCAGGGGAAAACATTGAAGTAAGGAGGTCAGCTGGCCAGCCTTCATCGCATGTGAGGAACGTGCAAAGAGGAATACTGTGCAATCTTTATACAAGTATACATATAGAACAGACTAAATGTAACCAAACGCTAACAGATGTAGCATCAACGCATGGTCTGGTTGAAATGGTGCAAGGAACAGGAGTTCATGTTGTCGACATTCCCTCATGCCATCACGACCATTCCTCGCTGGGAAGCAGTCTTGGATAGAAGAAAAGGGGGCTCGTCAAACAGCGAACTAGATTCAAGCATTAAGCGAAATATCCAGTGGTACTTGAGTCACATGCTTCCTTCAATGACCCACAAGTTGTGGGCCAATGAACAAACATGCCAGGTCTTCTCTTCGCAGAGTGAATTGGAATCACATTCTAAAAGAACAGAGCTCATTCTGCTGCGATCTGTGGCAGTGACCAACGCTCGAACAAGAATCTGAGATATCCTCAGTATCAAAAGCACAAAACTATGTTATAATGATACTGTTTGATGATTTGAAAAATGACTCTGTACTATCTTGACTGGTCCAGACTGCTGGGGTCAAGGTAGGCAAACGACCATTTGAAATCAGCCAAATGAATTATGTAGACCTCTCTGATCGTGCGACATTTTATCTCTAGATCAACCCAGAGACTCTCAACATTGGACCTCTCTGCTTTTCTACCTTGAAAGGAGAGAGGTCCCATGAGTTAGGCCAGATCTACTGAGGATGATGTTTCAGCAAGGAGGGCCTATGGTTTTGGGCTCATCGGAAAAGCTCAATTTCAAAGGCTAGCTTTCAGAGCGTTCTATCAAAGAGAAGCGGGGCTGAAGCAGTTGTGATCAGATACGCAAAACGCTTGCCAAACAACAATCCATCCCCTTTCGTAATATCCACTCGGAGTATCAAAAAAATGAAAAGCGCGCAGTTGTATATACGTTATACGCGTATGTAAAAATGACATGTGGGTATTCCGCGTTTTGTCAAATAATCTCTTTGTTGTATTCCTCGGATTTCGTAACGTCGCGATAATTCAATAGCTGTATCTCCGACTCTAGTTCGAGATGACTTTCGTTCTCGGCTTGCCGTGATCTTCTTTCTTTCCCCTCTCCTCAGCCCCTCGCCTTCCGATCTGATGGCTTAGCAGGGCCGCATGGATAAGTTCCGTGTATGCTGGCTATGGCTGCCCATCATCTTGGTCAGAAGCTCTCCTATCTTCCGCGGATGCTGTTGAGCCCTTATCCTCCCCGTCCATATGACCTCTTATATTGTCGTCTACTCGAGCTTTTCGAAGGATGTTATAAGTTGATATGATGGTCGAAGGATTCGGATTGAACAGTCTCCTCAGGCCTAGGTTTGCTCTAAGAGCGGACGACGTCGAGTCTGGTCACGCGACTCAGCGCTAAGCGGCCCAGGTCCTCCTTCCCCCTATTCATGGAAATGGGCTACGGTAGTCCAACCACCCGCAGCGATTGTTGATGCTCATCTGCTGCACTTGGTTCAATGGACTGACATTGATTGTGCCGTAGAGTACTCAAGTACCGAGTAGAAGCTTATCAATAAACTTTCTTGATATCTTTGGTCCACCAGGGCCTGTGCTTTGATCTCCTTCCCCGCAAAGCAGTGCCGACGACACAAGAACGCGTCCCAAGATACTTGGTACATGCACGAATGAACTCTCGCTCCTCCTTGCCAACCCTTATCCAAAATAACGTTTACCAATGCCGTCACTATAACCTCTCATCCTCTCCGCTCCTTCCGTAGCTGACGAATACCCGCCAATCCCTCTCCTTCACTCGAAAAGCCTTCTCTAAACACGTTACGTCCCGCATGGTATGAATATAAACACTGGCTTTTGTGGGAAGCGGGGGAGGGAGTCAGGGAGGATTTATTTGGATTGGCATATACCGTACAAGTTGCAGGCTTGGAGAGGAGTGGGAATTGCTTTCTCTCAATACTGGCTGGGAGGACACATTGTTCAGGGATTCATTTTATAGCTGTCTTCCCAGCCCGTTCAAACTCCGCAGATGCCGTTCCATCAGCCGAATATGCTTATCTTGAAAAGGGCATTGGCACAAGTCTTCTTCAAATAAGGAATCTTGCGTTGGTGTAGACTTGGCACAGTTCATAATCTTCTCCTTCGGCCTACGTCAAGGCAGAAAGAGTGGCGACAATGGACCATGGAAAGACGATGCAAATATCATTTTGTAATCTGTTGGATCCCATAGTGTGGGGTAATCCAAGGAGCTAGCTATATGCTTCAGGAGACGTTTCCTCTTGCTATTTCTACAAATGCCGAAGCATGCATTCTGATAGTACTCAACGCCGCAGCAGAGTACTCGTTCTGCTTTGCCATCTTAACCCCTTTGTTTTGATCATTCTCAAGCGGTGGCTTTTTAGTCTTGAGTACTCACAGTAGTCCTGAGATATAACTTGATGGTAAATCAAACTCCTATTCTTTTGCTATCCCAAACCAGCTTTTTTCAAGCCTCTGTCTAGCTTTGAACATGCTGTTGGTCTCTCAAAAACGCCATAATTTGGGTAAAAGCATATGGATACAAACAGCCCCTCTCTGTTTGGGGTGTTGATTCTTGGTAGCGAGAAAAGCACCCTACCATAGAGTTTTTAAGGCTTCAGACGATATGGTAGTCAGGCAAGTGCGAGAACGCTCCAATCTTTGGGTCCGACATCCATTTATCAGTCAGGATGTTCTCCTGGACAGGTATCTCTCGAGACGATTAATTCAGCATGCATACGCCCACCAGATTGACCAACGAACTGTCTTTACAGTATCATAAGCCTAAATCGCCATTCTTGGGAGCGAAGCAAGGCAACATTTCCTTGTCATATACTATATCTTCTTGGCCAAACTAGCTAACAGTATAGAATACACGAAGAGTTTTCTAACTGTACATTTCGTTTTCTTGAATTCATGTACTCTCCCGAAAACACCTCATCCACAGAGCCCCATTAATGTTCTTAATCTGAATACACCCAGATTCTCTTTCCACACATGTAGTACAACGTTCATTCCCTTTGATGTATTTAATCCTATCGATATTGTGTCCGAAAATGACATCAACAAAACACTGCCATTCGGTAGGTTCATAATGGGGGTCAACCTGTGCTTTGTATCTCTCGAGATTCCTCATGCGTTTTGATCTGTGTAAGCCCTTATCCTTAGGATCGTAACTCTCGCATTTGTGGTACGAGAACAAAAGACTGGTGAGGTAGCTTAATAATGGCTTGTGTACTGGCTTTGTAGCAGGCATGAAGTTGAACGGCAGTAGCTTCGTTCGTAATTCTTCTACGCTTGCGATCCATGCTTCTTGTCCATCTTGCGGTTCTTGTTTGATAGAAGAAGCGTCAATGTCATCGAGTTTTCGCTTTTTGTTGGCAGGTTCGATTGTTGATAATTCGTTTGTAACAATTGGTGTATCTTTCTCCGTGTTTTCCTTCAATTGTGCTTTGAGCTGTCCAACTTTGTCAAGTGCATTGTCCCGTTCCTCGGTTATTTTCTCAAGCTGAGCTCGTAACTGAGTAGCCTCATTTTTTAGTTCCTCCTCAATGTTTTCCGAAAGCTTTACGGCGGCATTCAATTGGCCCGCTCTACTCAATGCTGCATCTCGCTCATCCGCCCTTTTCTCAAACTTGATCCGTAGTTCAACAACCTCCTCGATCAATTCATCCGTCGTATCATTCGAAGCTTTCAATTCCCCCTTCAGTTCCCCGAATTTTCTCAATACGGCATGCTTCTCAGCATTCGACTTTTCCAACTCCGCTTCGAGAGTGTGCATCTTCCTCTTCATTCGTCGTAATTCTTGGTGGGGATCTGCATCTTGCAAATCAGGCGCTGCCGAGGGTGACTGTTCGAGCATGCTGGAGGTTTTACGAGCAAAGAATGGTTTTGCGGACTTGGTGGACGGTAGCACCTCTCTTATTGTGATATTGAGGTGGGGCTGTGTGGGGGACAAAGAACTTCTTTGATGAAAACGATCTATTTGACAATGACAAAGTGGGATGTCTTACGATAATCTTTTGCTTGGGGACAAAGAATCCATTAATCCGGGTAAAAAGTCTTCTTTTCTTACTGTACACTTTATCCGGAGATAAGATCACTTCTGAATTTTACTTTCACAAATTTTGGGATGTATTTTTGCGGGAAAATTTAAGCGAGATCGGGAAGCAAGGGGGATTTTGGCCACCGTTCTCGGAGAACGACTAGCCATTTTACAATAGCGTAGCTCAATTCAAAATATTCGTTCTATTTTAAGATAGTAGTCGCTGAACCGCCCAGTATTGTGAGGCCATCCCGAAATTTTCAAATGCCCACAGGCACTCTACTCCCCCGTCCTCACGACCTCTTCCAACAGCCTGTACCCTGAATCAGCGGTCAAATTACCATACTCTCAGGCTGAAATCTCTGTAAGCAACTTCGCGTATATGTCATTATCATTAACATAAGCCACGACGAGTAAAGAGTAAGACTTAGTATCGAGGTGTGATTCTATTGAAACTTTGACATAATGAACCATTTTATGTTCAGCTTTCATAGGGCAGATCACCATATCAATGATCATTGACGGCTGTGTCTCAAAAATATTTACCTTCTGACCCAGAATCCGACACCTGAGTATACTCCAGATCATTTCACGCCCGAAGCCAGAAACCCAATCATGGTAATTCCAGCTGTTCAGACAGGACAAGTAAACACCGCAATGCTCTAAAATATAGTCATTCAGGAGTTATTGTTATTGTACCACGAGAAAAACGACGGTTCCAGTATAGTCTGGCTGTTATCCAGCAACTCGCGATTCTAGTGGAGTGGTGGAGCTGACTGGTTCACATTACATCAAGGCAGGGGTATATTTCTCCCTAGCTAACGTATTCACAAACTCTAATGGAGTATTTCAGTCGAAAAATTCTACCATTTCGCAAATCTCCAAACATGGAGTTGCAATTTACATTTGGACAAGAGTAGTAAACAGAAGACAAGAACAGGGCAAAGAACATCTTTAAATTCTTGCGAGCTAGGAATAACTAGGTCGACCTGGGACTTGAGTGCTTGGAAATACAACCAGGTTAGATGCAGTAACTATATCAAGATGCAACTGGGGCATAAATGCATGGAAATCCAACCAGATTAGCTAAACGGCTTTGTCCTAGGGAGAAAATGGTATAGGAGTAGACAATTCTACTCCACTGTGAGTGCACGTTTTTTTTTCTGGTTCTCCAGCATCTACTTCTAGAAGGGATGGAAGTACGTTATGGTCTTTTACTTTGATCCTAGTATTTATTAAAAGGTTTTATATAAAAGTATAAGCTAGACTAGCTTGGCTTTACTTTCTTTTTAATAAGGTTGTTTATTATGTAGTCATTCTTCTGGGGAGGGTAAAAGCTTAGAAAGTGAACATCGCCGATCCATAGTAGGTTTTTAATCTAAGCGAGCTTTATATAATAATACACCTTAGGTCTATTTTATATTACCCACTTCTTGAATATCGGTACTCATTAGGTTTACTTTAAAGTATAAGTAAGGCCAGTTTGGTTAAATTTACTTTTTTCCAGTTTGCTTATTGGGCAAGAATTCGCAATACGATGCAACGTTCCTATAATTCTCCCTCTTGGCTTACACCTCTTTTGTTGACTAAGAGATTTTTAAGTGACGGAAAATGCCTAGCTGACGAAAGACAGTTAAGGTTATATGAGGAACGGAACATTTCGCAACCTGTTTTTCTTGACTCGCACCAGTACTTACTCTCGCACTCCCTTGGCTGACGTTGAGTTTGTAAATGGAGATACTATTTTTGTTGTTGTTGATAATTCCATTTTCGGTTAGGCAGGTTCCTTACATATCAGAGAATGCATGTGATTGCAGAAAAACAAAAAAGGAAGGTGAGGCAGGGGATGCACAGACAGCCTCACACGTCATAGGTAACAATCCGCTTGCAGGTGTCTCTTTCTTACTCAGATGTGTTTTCACAATTGTATCACGCTACCTAGCTATCATTTTTCTCCCTCCAAACAACGAGTGATGGTGATGTACCAAATAGCAAAGACCACCGTTAGTTCTTTATGTGCTTTTATACAATTGTCGAGTACTCGTGTGTAGATTTTGCTCACGAGGGTTCTTGCGACGTGCCCGAATCCCTGACTGCCTAGGGGACAACCCCGGGTTCCATCTGGGGATGTTTTTCGCAGTCGAATCCTTGAATATTTGTAAAGCATGTCTTTCAATGTGATGAGGACCCTTTCAAGGAAGGAGATCAGACTGCGATGCGATACTCAAGCACCAAGTGCACAAACAAGCAATCAGCCATTATCTGCTGTCGTCGCTCAAGCAACAAAGCTGCGTCGCCCTCACTCGGTAGCTGAATAGCTCGCTACAAAAATGTGATTGCGATTGCGATTGGGATTGCGATTGGGTGGACGAGGTTACGAGAATACGAGTAATTCAAGATTTGGCTCGAGAGTCGATTCATCCAACCCGCGAATGGTTCACCACTCGCTTGACTGTACTCCGTACGGTACTACATCCGTGTGTTGGCAAACTCAAATTTTTCTTGCTGCATTTAAAGAGACGGCATTTGGAAGAGTCTAGATCTCCGAACGTCTCAACTCCAAAACATTGTGCTCTCGGTAGGACCTATTTTTGCCTGCGGTCGCTTTCAACTTGAATTGCGCCGTACTCGAGTACTTGAGTATGGTATATAGTAGTTTGAATCCCATCCCTGGCGTACCCCCATATTGACTTCCCTTGGCCGCTGGGCAGGCTGGCTATTGCGACAACTTCGGACCTTTTAAGTATTGGTGGGGAAAGAAAGGAAGGAGATATCCTGAATATACCAGGTCTCCACCAATAAACCTGTTGAGTGTCTTTACACGTACCTACCACCTACCACACACACCACCCGTGAATGTGAATTCCAAGCACCAAAAGGCAAAGGGGTCAAAAACAATGACTTTGACACAGCTTAATCAATCCCTTCACTTGCCAATTATTGCCTCTAGTCTGAAATAGCAAACGGACTGAGGTTGTCTGGTCCAGCCACGGAAATCAAAGCTCGTCAGGGGATAGGAATCGGCTACTACCGCTACGACGTCATTTTCTGATCATAATCTTCCCCCCCCAAACCGTCCACCCAAACCCCCAAAACCAACACCACGACGCCAGTAATTATTGCCAGAACCGACCACGACCCAGCACGACCGATCTCTTGCACCACAACAGTGTCATCGTCTCCTCAGAACAGAATTCTGGAGGTCGCTACGGAACTGGGTGGATTCCAGGTCCAGGCATGCCGCCACCAAAATCGACTTTGGACAAACAATCTTCCACTCATCGACATCCAGGCAATTCTGGCAGATCCAGTAACGAAAAAGTGACATCCAAGCCAAAATATGGTCTAAAGAAATCTCTACCGACCGGCAGAACCAAGAACTCCATATCTGAATCGATGCCGGACGCGCCAGCCTCATTGGGTCACCCAGGACCCCCTCATGAACCATGGGAGAAGGGGAAAGGAAATAGTGAAGGAAAAAAGAGAGAGGAAAGAGGCGCCATGGAATCGACCGTACCGAGCGACCGCGCCGACGAGTTTGACTCGGCAGCATCGGAAGACACCGTGGAGGAGAGTACTGAGGGAAACACAGGAAGCGCCAATACAAAAGCAGGCTCGGCCGAGGAGTTGGAGCGGTTACGAGCAGCTGTAAATGCGCAAATTCGCTTTTCCCAGCAGAGAGATGCTTCATTACGGAGGCCAGGATTACGCGATGATGGTAAAGCGTCGACAGCTGGAAAGTCTCGAGTCTCGCCAATCCATGAAGAAGCGATCTCGCCGTCGTTGGAAGATGCTTTTGCCAGTCCTGTGGTACCGGGCCCAGAGACTACTTCCACAGAATCAGCAGCCACTGTGCGAGGAGGGATTACGCCTGGTCCGTCCAGCATACGTACACCATCATACCCATTCCCACCCATGAGGAGAAATACCAGCTATAACACTAGCTACAGCAGTCACAGGCCATTTACTGCTTTATCTCCCACTGTCAATCCAGTGAACTATTCCGGCGGCACTTTTGATTCAGCTTCCTTCGATCGGGTACAGTCTGGATCCGTGACTCCAGCTTCAACTTTGAACTTCAAACCACGCGGGGCACCTCAACAACAAGAAGTTACCATTTTCGAAAGCCCAAATCTGTATAATTTGAGTTTGATGCTCATGTCAGAGCCAGGTTTGGATTCATGGTGGACCACAGTCTCTCAGATTATGCGAGACTTATACAAAGCTGATCGTGTCACGTTGACCATACCAGCAGATCCCACTGATGTGGAGAATGTACCGTGGGCACAGAAGGCCACATTCAATGCTACAGACGAGGACGAATTGAGTTTGACATACCTTCCACGAGGAAGTAGTTTGCAGCCAAGCACCACAAATGAACCCTTCAACAATGAGGAGGACTCGCCATTGTCACCATGGCAGCCTTCCAGCTCATCACGACCAACTCTTGAGAGCCGACACTCCTTTACTGCGTATGAAGACACCAAGCGTGAATCCCCAGCAAATCTTGACCCAGTCAGAGCCACAGCTGACCGTCCTTCGATGATGAACCGAGCACAAAGTTATGTTTCCTTTCGCTCGAACAAACCACCACGTAGCGAAACTCTTCAGCAGGCTGAGCTAAGTTTGCAATCTCTTCAACACCACTTGGAGTTTGAAGAGTCCAAATCTCCCGTCAGTTGGGAAAACCTGGGAGAAGCTCAACAAGAAGTCCGAGGACGTGTATTTCCCGTGCTTCAAGCTTTGGACTTTGAGGCGGATCCATTAATAGACAACACTGGTGTCATGCGAGTCTTGGACCGTGAAGCAGTAGTAGTCTTGACGCGTGACTACCCATATGCAGACAGATCAGACCAAGTAGACGAGGCAAGCAGTGGGAGTGGAAGTAAAATCTCGCAACGCAGTGCTAAGAAAGAATCGCCAACGGAGAAGAGCAAAAAAGGCAAGACGCCAGATCTCAGTACACGCATTCAGTCCTTTCTCGGCAGCAAGAGTAAGCATACACGACAACCAAGTCGCGAGCCTACTTCGGCCATCAAATATGACGAATACGAGCAAGGGCCACCTTCTCCCTGGTCTCAATCACCCGCTCCGTCGCCCGCTGTTCGCAACGAGACGGAGGAAAACCCGTTCTTCGCCAGTCACCCTGTGGATGAAGAGAGCTTTGATACTAACCAAGCGCCGAATGACTACTCGCGGTCCTCGCAAGTCGAGGCGATTGGAGTGGATAGGTCGTGGACCGTATTGCATGTCCCCTTGATGCACCCTCTGCTTTCAAAGGCCGTTCATGCCTTCCGTCTAGACACAGCAGCGTTGGAATCCAAGGTAGGCGGCCATGATAGGCGTGGCTCCAAAGCGGCAAAGCCCAAAGAAAGCGAGGCCGCAAATGAGAGACGTACTCCCGTTGCCATTCTCTCTCTCCTCAGTCCAGTTATACCGTATCCGTCCAATCTGCGCAATTCACTCGAATATCTGGCTCCTCACCTGGCATCTTCATACTCGCTTTGTCGACACCACACCAATTTGCAGACAGAGATTGCCGGATTGTCCCGGAAGGGCCCTCGACAGGCTGGGTTTGGCGCTGTTGTTCCCATCGACCGACAGTTTCTTGAACCGCATTCTTCTTCGTCTCTCGAAGACGTAGCCGTTCAAAGATCCAGTGGAGGTAGTATCACGAGTCCAAGTGACTACTCTGGAGTTTCGAGAAGTACTGCTGGTTCTCCCGCTGTTACTCCGGGTTGGGACCCAACTAGTGCTGGGCTAAGTCGTGACAAGCGATTGAGCGCGAGCAGTCCCAGCTACCCGGGCGCTGGTGGTGAGAGCTATTTTGCTCTACGGTCCAATCCATCGCTAGTCAGGCTGGAGACGGGCTCTGCAACCCAAGTGACTGGGGCCCGACGTTCATCCAAAGATCACTCTCCAGTAGAATCTAGGTCACACCATGGCAGTTGGAACTCAATAGATAAACGACATCTACCCGATACTGTGGATTCTGATCTTCATGGTGAAGCCACTGCGGGTAAACCTGAGAGCGATGATTCTGGACCTCCTGCCACGGCAAAGAATGATCGCTCTAGTCGAGATCCTTCTGCGGGTGGTGGTGGTGGTGGTGAAATAAGAGATCTAAGTCCCCCTCGTCAACACGATACTCCTCTATCGCCTAGACGCCAGGCAATGCGTACGGCTTCTCACCAAGGGACCACCAAAGAGCGTGCGCACACCCAACTTCATTCTTATGGAGCTGACTTCAGCGCTACTTTCCAATCAATACCACCGACATCTGGAACACTCACGCGAACTTCAACTGGTAACTGGGGACCTCCCCCACGTTCCAATTCGATTGCTCCTCTGCCAACCGAAATGCCGCCTCCTTCTGATAGAGTAAAGGGATTGATGCTTGATTCACTCCCTGCTCACGTATTTGTAGCCATGCCGCCTTCAGGTGAAATAGTGTGGGTAAATAACCGATATTTGACTTATCGTGGTCAGACTGTTCAAGATCTTTATCAAGATCCTTGGGCAAGTATCCACCCTGAGGAACGTGAAGAATACTTGAAAGCATGGGGCCATGCTATTCGATCCGGTGAACAGTTCTCCAAACAGGTTCGAATCAGAAGATTTGACGGAAACTATCGTTGGTTCTATACCCGTGCCGTTGGGCACCGCGACCACCGAGGCGTTATTGTACAGTGGTATGGCACGCATATGGATATTCATGATCAGCATCTGGCCGAAGTCAAGGCAGCTCGCCAGGAAGAAATCGAAGCTTCCGAAGCTAAGCATCGCCAACTAGCCAACCTTATTCCTCAAATTACATTCGCGGCCACAGAAGATGATGGAATTACATTTGCAAACGAACAGTGGTTATCTTACACAGGTCAAAGCTTCGAAGATGCTTTGGGACTTGGTTTCATGGACTGTATCCACCCGGAAGATCTTGCCAAATGTCATGTCCCCCATCAAGCGCCTAATCCAACACATCTTACCTCACGAAACAAGCCAGCTGAACCGACTCGGATGCCATCCGATACCTCATCGAATACAAAGGGATCCTCCAAGTCGTCCGGATGCTCCATGCAATCAGATGCACCAACGGAAACGACTGTCAAAGGAAAACATCAGTCATTGTCAAGACATAATAGTTCCAGCAGCGAATCCATGTACGAGTTTCCTGTCTCGGACCTATCGGAGTTGGCGAAAGCGGGTGTTATCAAAGTAACATCAGATAGTGACGGCAGACTTTCTTACGAGACCGAAGTTAGACTGAAATCCAAAGGTGGTGTCTATCGTTGGCATCTTGTTCGCTGTGTTGAGGTTGAGAATATCGCTCTTGGTAGTGGAGACGGCTCTTGGTTTGGAGCTTGCACTGACATTCATGACCACAAACTTCTCGAGAAAACATTAAAGGAAACCATGGATGTCAAAACGCGATTTCTAAGCAACATGTCTCACGAGATTCGAACGCCTTTGATTGGTATTTCTGGAATGGTTAATTTTCTTCAAGATACGCCTCTTACTGACGAGCAAGCGGATTACTCAAACACCATCAAGTCAAGCGCGGACAGTCTGCTCAATATCATCAACGATATTTTGGACCTTTCAAAGGTAGACGCTGGAATGATGAAACTTTCCCATCAATGGTTCCACACACGTTCCCTGGTTGAGGAAGTGAATGAGATCCTGTGCTCTTTAGCAATTACCAAAAGAATTGAGTTGAACTACGTCGTCGATGCTGATGTGCCGGAGATGGTCAAGGGAGACAAGTTCCGCATCAGACAAGTTCTCTTGAATATTGTTGGCAACGCCATCAAGTTCACCAGTGTTGGTGAAGTCTTTAGTCGCTGTAGACTTGTAAAGGACTCTTCCGTTGGAGAAAATGAGGTCATGTTGGAACACGAAATCACTGATACGGGCAGTGGTTTTACTCAAGAAGAGGCGGAGATGATATTCAAACCTTTCAGTCAGATTGATGGAAGCAGCACTCGCACTCACGGTGGAACTGGTCTTGGGTTGGTCATATCAAGGCAACTTGTGGAACTTCATGGAGGCAAAATGGAAGGCAGTGCTATTCCCGGCAAAGGATCTACTTTCACATTCACAGCAAAATTTGCCTTGCCAACGGACGAAGATCATCCCAACATGCCTGCACCCACACCTCAACCTAGGGAGCTCTACAAAGGCGTGTCCGATTCGTCTACGGGCTCATCGCTGGCAAGTAGACCTAGGGTTGCTCGCATTCCTAGTAATGAAGTGCTCAAACCAGCGCTCACCGCTCAGATTGTCCAATCTCCCCAGTCAGTGACTCCCAAGACGGAATCCAGTATTGGATCCCCCGTCGCTTCTTCGGGTAGCTCAGTGCCGTCATTGCATTCAACACGTTCACATGCAACCCAAAAAACCTCAACATCATCCCTGGGACCAAATCTAGCACATTTCAGTCGTGCAGCCATGGCGGGTTCTCCGGACCCAAATCAAATGAAACTTGCCCTTCCAGATAGGCAGAGCTCGGCCTCTAGATCTGTAACGGGTGCAGCAACAGAATCTGACAATCTTCCCTCATCTCCTGCGCTGAAGCATTTCCGGCCACCGATGTATTCGATCCTAATCATTTGTCCTCAAACGCATAGCCGTGAAGCTACCACGCAGCACATCGAAATGACATTGCCAAAAGATGTGCCTCATCAAATCACAGCTCTGGCCAGTGTCGAAGAAGCTCAAAATTTGATCAGCGGGGAAGATTCTGTCATTTTCACTCACACAGTCCTGAACCTTCCTTCAAAGGAAGAAGTGGTTGCGTTGATTGATAAGACCAATGGCTCAAGCTCACTACCGCATACGTCGATTGTCGTTCTTTCTGATCCTGTTCAGCGCCAGGAAATCATCAAGATGGCAAAGGATTACGATTTCGATCAACTAGCGAAGGATCTTAAGGTGACTTTCGTCTTCAAGCCAGTGAAGCCAAGTCGTTTTGCTGTCATCTTTGATCCAGAAAAGGAGCGAGATCTTAGCACGGATCGCAACCGCTCTTCTGCTCAGCAGCAAGTTGCAGACCAAAAGCAGAGCTATCTTGATGTCACAAAGCGTCTTGGTAATAGAGGTTTGAAGGTTCTTTTGGTTGAAGACAATCTGGTCAATCAAAAGGTTTTGCTCAAGTTCTTGAGTAAAGTGGGTGTCGAGGTTGAACTTGCTTTTGACGGTGTAGAATGCACTAAGAAAGTCTTTGCCCACGACCATTCCTTCTACTCTCTCATTCTTGTAAGCTTTCTATATATCTTCCCTCTTGGCCCAAGATACTAACCAGCCCACAGTGTGACCTCCACATGCCAAATAAAGACGGTTATGAAACATGCCGTGAGATCCGACAATGGGAAGCGAAGGAAAACTTGCCACGTATGCCAATCATTGCTCTCTCCGCGAATGTCATGGCGGATGTGATGGAGAAGTGCGTGGCGGCCGGCTTCAACGATTATGTTACGAAACCAGTCGATTTCAAGGCTTTGAGTGCAACCATGGGTGACCTCCTCGAAACGAGTGAATAATCCTTGGGTTGAGGACTCTGATGGTTGATTATTATCAAGCTTGCCTGGCGTCGCGGATATTTGCTGCTTGGGGAGCTCTCTAATGTGTCTATTTGATTCGTGGACAACTTCGTTTCGACTCTTGCTGTAGTAATGGGTGGTTGAGGCGTGATGAGGGGTTTGCTTGGATGGCTGTGGAAATGGATGCGATTGATCTAATTCCCTCTCTGTCTATCTTCCCTTTCTCCATCCATCTTTGAGATCTAAGTAGATGGATTGGGGATTGGCGAGGATCATTGGCGCGTTTGTATATCCTTTCGGCATCTCCTTGTTCTACTTGGCGATGGATCTTTGGCCTTGCTTTTGCGGTCCGCACAATGGAAATGAGATATGATGATGGACTTTTCATATTATTGAGCGCGCGTTTGGGATTTTTTGTTTTGTTGGTTGGTTGGTATCTTTGGGGGAATGAAGAAGAAACCTTTTGATGCTAGCTAGGCTGGCTTGGAATGCTTGTTTTTTTGTCGTTGCTGTTGCATAGGTAGCGAGGGTAGGATTTTAGGTAGCCTTTTTCTTCTTTTTTCTCTACTTTGTTGTTTGCTTGCTTGCGACATTTTTCATCGTCTGGGCGTTTTTATGGCGTTGGGACATACCTCTTGCTTATGCTTTGTTTTGTCTTTTTGGCTTGCTATGGTGGGATGGGAGGGAGGTGGTGGGAGTGCGGAGTGTGTTGGAGTGTTTACTTTGTCATCGGCGGGGCATTTGGGGGTGCTGTGTGTATGTTAAAAGTTGTGGAAGAGGAGAGAGGGCAGTGGACAGAGGATGAATGAATGAATGAATAGATGGGGTGTGGTAATGGGAGATGGGGTAGTAATCAAAGAATTTGATTCATGAAGTTTTGTGACTCGTGGTGATTAAGAAATGTAGGTTCTTACCTGATGGCGACAAGGCGATTACTTGAATCTCGCTTTTCTCGGTTTAGGTATCTAGGTATCTACTTGTGGAATGGCTCATGGATGTATTGTGGAAGTTGAGATCATGGATAGTTCGGATACTTTCAGCGTGTCAACTTCGAGTAGTTGAGTTGAGTAGTAGTACCTAATCAACTCAACTCGAGTAGTATCGGCCCCATGCCCCGTAGCGCGCCGGGCGGCCGGGCGGCCGGTCCGCGTACTCGGAGTTAGCCGAGTGCCCTTGCCCTGGAGCTAATATAATCTGAAAGAACAGGAGCATGCAGGCTCTCTTTATAGTTTGGTTACGTTTTTATATAACTACGAGAGTATTACTCGAATAGTTTAAATCTACTACTTAACTTAACAGAATTTTCTAATTATAGGTACTTACTTAAATTACCTCGAGTAGTACTCGAGTTGATTTGTATATAATAGTAGCTTTGTTAACGCGCTAGATACTTTTAATTCTTATATTCCGATGAGTTACTAAAAGTCTAGTAATATATTGTACCCTGGGAAAACAGAACCACAAGAACAGTTTAAGGCTACTTTTTTGGTCATTTCTTCACAAGTACAAGGTTTCTATACCTCTCTACCTAGTAAGAACTCTGATTCTTCTCGCAAAGGTTCGTTGACTAAATGCTTTGTATACTCTGCCAGTCCAACATAATTCGCAGTATAGGAGTTATGCTAAACGCCGATCATGAGCTAACCTGTCACCGCCTGGGCCCACGGTTGTGCTACACAGCTCCAGTTGCTGGAGCTTCCCCGCAAATGCTCGGACATTTATCCCAAGTAGGAAATGACCTTGAATCCGCCCTGACAATCGCTGACGCCACATTTACTTGGCTTTCCCCATCAACAACTCGCTTTCTGACTCTCAGCTTCCTTCTCTCTCTCCTCTCTTCAACCTGGCTTCCCAAAACCATTCACGATTGAGGAGCCGATCGAGAATCCGAACCCGACGCGAGCGTAGGAAGAAACAGAAAGCTATTTTGTTTGCCAACTTTGTGATTCCGTTGGCTAGTATTCTTACGACGGTTGCTACGAGGATCGTTGATATGGCGGGCCAGTCTTCGAAGGCGAAGCAGGTCGACGATGGGGAACGAGCACCTTTGTTAGGTGGGAGGAGCCTTGAGGAAAATGGGAAGACTCCTAGAGGGGATCGAAATGATACAGAAGCCGCAGTGCCGTTGAAAGCCGCGAGGTGGCTGGCGAGACATGCCGTTATTGTGTTCATGAGCTTGTTGTTACTGGCCGTGATCATTGTGCTGTGCCTTTTCTTTGGCAGTAAGTGAATCCGTTTCTTTCTGTATTCTCTGCCAGTTTTGAGTAGAATCATAGCTAATTCGTTGATAGCCTACAAGCATAACAAGAAAACAAATACCCAAGCTGCGGTCTGCATGACGCCTGCTTGTGTTCATGCATCCTCGGAAATCCTATATAATCTCTCGCCCAAATATAAAGAGATTGATCCATGTACCGATTTCGAGGAGATGGTTTGTGGTGGATGGGGGGATAGACATGATTTGAGACCGGATCAGGGAGATGCGTTTACCGGCACCATTATGAGCGAGAACAGTCAGATGCTGCTGAGACATATTTTGGAAGCTCCGTTTCCAGAAAAGTCCGAGGTAGATTGTGTTGAATTCTTGCAAGAATATATGTGGTTTTCTAACTTGCTATACAGCACTCTAGTTTCTCTCCGGCACAGCTCATGGCCACCGCTTCTTCGATCGATCAACAGAACTTTAATAAACTTCGAGATGCATATGATGCTTGTATGGACGAGGAAACAATCAAGAAAGTGGGCATCAAACCACTCATGGAACTCCTCCAAGATGTAGCAGAAATGTACCCAGTCCACTCCAAGTCTACTACCGAAGATAGCAAAGGGCTTTCGGATACCATCCGTTTCCTGGCTAAACTGGGAGTCTCTTCTCTCGTATCATTGGGGGCAGGGGCCGATGACAAAGATCCAGACACTGTCGTAGTTGTTGCCTCACCGCCATGGCGAATTGGTCTCCCAGCCAAGGATTATTACACCGATGAGTCTGTGCTAAAGAAATATGAGGATACACTTGCTACAACTATTCAGAAGTTTCATCCGGAACTTCAGTACGTATATAAATGGGGATTTAGCGTGCCTTGGGTCTGGCTAACCGTGCGTGGTAGAATCGTCAAGGGGGCTGGTGCTCAGAGCTATGCTCATGATGTTGTGGAGTTTGAGAAGAAACTCGCCGCCGCTTCTCCGGACGAAGAGGATCGGAACGATGTTACTGTAAGTTCCGCGCCATATGTTACCCTGTTAGGCCACGGATGCTGATCTTGAATTCAGCAATATTACAATCCAATGTCTCTCAAGGATGCAGATAAACTTGCTCCTCAAATACGCCTCAAGGAAATTATCGAAAGTCTCCAACCATCTGATGTTAAGACTGAACGCATTATCGTGTCATCTCCCAGTTATATGACGAACTTGACGAGTATTATTTCGGGGACTTCAAGAGAGATTTTACAAGGTTACTTCATTTGGAAGCTCATCCAGTCTTTTGCTTCAGTTGTGGAGGCCGATGAGCTCAAAGCTTATTCGAGGTTTCAAAATGAGCTTCAGGGCAAGGTAAGAGTCGATTGATTGTGTACCAAACCTGGTCTGCTAACACCTATTAGGATCCAGATTCTGCGCCTGAGCGTTGGAGAACTTGCGTGGGTCATGTTGATGACGGCCTTGGTTGGATCTTGAGTCGATTTTTTGTTGAAAAGGCATTTTCTGAAAAGGCCAAAGAACTTGGTGACCAGATCGTATCTGACATTAAGGATATGTTTATTGAGAAGCTTAAGGTTACGACTTGGATGGATAACAGTGTTGTTGATTTGGCAATTGAGAAAGTGCACAAGATTGTTCAAAAAATCGGCTATCCAACCAAAGTACGTCAGGGTATTTCCCCCAATGAGTTCAGTGTTAACAATCCACAGAGTCCGAATATCATGGATCCTCCAAGTCTTCAGGACTATTACACTTCTATCAACATCAGTCCCTCCGCCTTTTTCGAAAATACCCTATCAATGAGTCGTTTCGGCATAGCACGTGAATGGTCGAGTCTCGGCAAACCCGTCGACCGCAATGAATGGGGAATGACAGGTGAATAAATTCTGAATATTCACTCGAGATGTAAATGCTGACTCTGAGTTCCCATTAGTCCCTACAGTCAATGCATACTATAATCCTCCCGGGAACGAAATCGTTTTCCCCGCAGGCATTATGCAGTTTCCCGTCTTCGACGTCAATGTCCCTCAATATTTGAGCTACGGAGCTTTCGGTTCGGTCTCCGGCCACGAACTCTCCCATGCGTTTGACTCCACAGGACGCCACTACGACCAAAATGGAAACTATACAGACTGGTGGACTCCCGGCACCGTCTCCGCCTTCAAAGAACGCGCCGAATGTTTTGTCAATCAGTACTCGGAGTTCACAGTCCCAGGATTGGACGATAAACCACTACATGTCAATGGTAGACTTACGCTAGGTGAGAATATCGCTGATGCGGGGGGTATCACGGCAGCGTTTGCGGCGTGGAAGAAGAGAGAGAAGGAGGTTGCCAATGAAAACCTTCCTGGGCTGGAACACTTTACCCAGGAACAGCTGTTCTTTGTGGGTTATGCGGGGTGGTGGTGTGGGAAGAGTCGCAAGGAGACGGCGGTGCAGAGAATCTATACGGATCCCCATGCACCGAAGTGGGCGAGGATTTTGGGGACTATGGCGAATAGTCGGGATTTCAAGGAGAGTTTCAAGTGTGAGAAGAAGGAGCCTGTTTGTGAGATTTGGTAGGTGGGTGAAGTGGGTGGCTGTAATCTGGGGTTTGAAATTTGAGGCTTAAAGTGGTGGAAGGGAGGGAAGGAGTGAGGTGGCGGTGGATATGTTATAAGCCGTGGGTGGATGTCATACGGAGGAACAAGGGGAACTACTTGAATATCTTTATTCACTGGGGGTGCATTGGGCGGGTGTATTATCGGCTACCACAGCATTTCTTATTCACTTTGGGGGCGGATTAATTTGCATAGGTTACTTTGGGATACTGGGTTTTAGCATAAATAAATTGAAAGATTATTCTCCTTATTTTTGGATGGATGTTGAGGAGTACGGTATATTTTGGCTTGTTCTTTGCTTGTTGGATTAGGAGGTACTATGTGTGGCTCCTAGGATCATATATACTCAAACACTGGTAAGTATTGTTTAGTAATTTTTGAGTGGATATCCCACCCCTATACGATTAGACATACGGTGTTATGGTAGTCTTCGCAAAATATTAGCATTCCGTGTTAGTTAACCTCCAAGGACTCGCATAGATTTCCATCTCATTCGATACGACAGGTTCTCGCACGTCTGGACAGATTTAGAAAAATTAGTGATGTCGTCTGTATCTACCTTCACGTATTAGTATACTACTTTTGTAATGATCGAATAGTCTATAATATACTTTGAAAATAACTTGTAAATTGTATCTATATAACAGGTCAAGTTATTTGAGAAACGCAAATGCTGTTAAGCACAAGTATAAGATGCTAAAGGTACGTAATTCTACTAGATATAGAGAATAATATATATCTGTTCTTCTGGGGGATTTTCGTAAAAGATAAGCACTTACGCGAATATCTTAGAATAGGTATCTATATTTTCAATTAGCACTGTCTTATGATCCGGATTAATTGAGTAAGGAAGAAATTATAGTTACTAACTACTAGAAGAAAAGGAATAGTAGTAGCTATACTATCTACTATAATTCAGTTTAATAGAGTAATATCATCATTCCTAAAAGCTTACGTATGTTAACTTACTTAGCAAATGGATTAGTGTCCTAAAGTACAGTTATTTGTGTTCATTGTTAGCATACCTTACTCACAGGCAAAATTGGAATAACAATGGAACTGCTTCCCATTGGCCTTGAATAAACGAGATAAACATATACGGCCCCTTTTCACAGTTCAAAACTCTTTTCGCTACTCTTGACCTGCTTTTTGCTGTTATTTCTCTTTCAAGCTATTAACCACAACTCTGTTCATCGATGCCATTTATCCAAATCATCGCAATGCTAGAGCAAAAGACATTGACTGAGGCGCAAGCCAACATGGTCACAGCCCTGTACAACAGTGATACTCAGCGGAAGAAAAGACGGATGTGCGTTCCATGAGTGTAAGATGGAACTGCTAGTTGGGTGTTTTAGCGAGAATTGGGATGGACGACAGGTTGGAGTCGGAGGCCAAGGGGGAGGAAATGAGGGAGGAGAGGATGGATTGGAGGAGGAGTTGGAGGTCTTGAGGCCAAGCCTTCCTTTTCTTGAGGGGAGGGAGGTGGATGGGGATATGTATATGGGAGTTTGATTGAAAAGTTCTAACAATGATAATGGCACTGTCTCACAGGAATGTTTCTTTTTCTTTCTGTAGGGTTATTTACAGAATAAACTCAAATTCGTTCTGACGCCTGATTTCTATGCTCTCTGCTGAGATAGCTACTTATGCTGACTCCTCAGTGCTTCAATTGGTACCATTCAACGTCCTCTTTGTTATTCCTTCAGCTGACATCCCAACGATCCCAGTCTATCTTATCGTGTCTCCATGATGAATTAAGCACTCGAATTGAGAGAAGGCGCCGCCGCTGCATCCTGATCCGAATTTCTCGCCTCACGTCCATCCAAAGCGGCCGAGAAATCCACGGTTCTCACCACGCCAGGGAATATTCGTGGGGTAGGGGAGAATTCCGTTCCAACACATAATTGTTCCAGTACTCTCATACTCCTCTGAACCTCTACAACAGTCTCTCTCTTCATGTATAGCTGTCTGTTCATAAATATCTGGGAAGGTACACGAGGTGCTTGGGCAAGTGCATGATCAAAAAGACCAATTGCTGGGCCATCGAACAGAGAGGCTTGATCAAGGAGCCAGTTGACCCGTTCTGAGTTGCTTCGAGGATATGTTAATAGTGACTTGAGCGATATGACTTCCCATGGACCCGTGTTTTCAATGAGACGGATGATTCCACGACACATAGGGCACGTTGGTGTCAGGGTGTATGATTAGAATCAAATCTGTTACAGTTGGTGCTGGAGGATGGCCATTGTCTTGCGCTGATAGATAAAGTTGGAGGATCCAGGTATGGATACAGACGCGGCAAAAGACATGCTTGCATGGTAGGACTGTGGTTGAACATTTGTCTCGGTGGTGGACCTCCAGACAAATGGTGCAGGTCTGTAGGGCAGTATCTGAATTTGATGACATTTTGCTCAAAGTGGAGGGTATTGTTGCTTTCCCGCAAAACTGAAGAAAATGCGCTTCTTGGAAGTCAAGACTGAAGGGGGGATGTTGAGAGATACCAAAGAGTGTTGTGGTAGTTCGCTTTGATATCATGCGAAGGTCGCATACAGCTGGTAATAGTACTGGCGGAAAGATATCTTTACAATCTGTGTGGAGTTCACCTCAATCAAATAATTGATATCACAGACATGCCAGTCACCTTGTAATACAGCAAATGTCCAGAATAACCATAGTCCGTTACAGATGGGGCTTCACCCGTTCTAAGTTCTCAGAATCTGCCTGCAAGGTTGGAGGGGAATCATCCAGAACGTTTGGTTTTTCTTACTAGAAATAACCCATGACCGATTGGTTAATACTGTGACCAAATCAAACGTTGTCCGTTGTTACAATAGCTCAGTGAACATTAAATGGTTAATAATGGGGCAACTGAACCAGGTGGATGAAGTACTGACCAGGGGTATAGGCTATATAGCCTTACTTGTGCGAGCTAGCTTAGCTAGCTTCTTAGTATTATAAGCATTTGATAGCTAGTGTATTACATATGATTCACGATATGGAAAGTGGCTCCATCATCAGCCAACTAGTAAGACACAACTACAATGCTACCAAGGTAATGATACTAGGACTGAGGTACCTTTCTTATGTCGCTTGTCTAAGCTTTGTCCATAAGCCATGAGCACACAGTATTATTATTTTTGTCTTCATTATTTAATTGACGCTAGCAAATGAGTAGCATATCCATCAATCCACAAATCGCTAGAGGTCTAAATCACTATATTCTGAAATACTCTTCTCCCCCAGGAACAGTCGACATCTAAGAACCCTTCGCTTCTTTATTGGGGGAAAGGATTTTGAGAGATTTGGGGATACCAAACATGTCAAAGGTAGGTAGTTCTAGGTATTGAAAGAAGTGATATGAAAGCAAGCGAAACACATGAGCTATTAAAGCGGTCATCCTAGGAAAGTTAGTGGTGGGGTCAAAGGAATACAACAAAAAGACTAGAATGATGAAAGTGTTACTTGTGTCCAATGCCAATGTACCTTTTCCTCTGTTATTGGGATTGTTCATCGTTTCAAAGGAGAGAAAATGAGCGGATGAAAGTGACATTCCAGTCAAATGCTATTGTAATCAATACTCCCACATAGCACAAACCCCCATCACTTGAGTTTCACGACTAGAGCCTTTCTCCTGGATGGTGCTTGTTCCCTGGTGAAGCACCACGAGGAAGTGCTGCCATGCTCGGAGAAATGGACTGACAAATCTATTTCTATATTTATATGCCCACGAGACCTTGCTCTCTTTGATATCTAAAAGTCATTATATATAGGCTGGAGAAAGAAAATACAGTCCATTAGAAACTATTGATTTTTCACTTGACCATACAAGACCTCAGATTTCGGCGATCATAAACTCGCTTAAGGAGGGTGTGGCGCCGCCGATTCTTTGTCAACAATATACTATGTTAGTAGTGACAGTATGACTAGCAGGTTCGCAAGCACTAGAGGAACAAAGAACTCTTCCTCGCCACTCCGGAATAGACTTCCGGGTATTTAAACCTCCTCAATGAGCATATTTGGGAAGTATTTGGGTCTCTATACGAGCTATAAGAGTCTAAGACGCTGAGCTCAACACAGGTTCAAGTTAATTTCAGCCAGCAAAGTATCTCTGCTGAGAGAACAGGAAGAACCATCCAATGGACATTTCATCATGCCTTGGTCCCATTGAAGAAAGAGATACTGGTGATGACGGAGAGGCATCGGAGAAAGAAAACCACACATCGGCCGATAACACAAACCAATCAAAGCATGGAATTAACAGACAGAAACGTCCAATTTCAATGAGTATACAAACCATGACCGATTCAGAGGTCAACCACGAAGTCGTGAAAACAATTTCCGAATGGCGAGGAACCCGACAACGGAGAAATACCGAGGAGGAAAAACGCCAGACCTGGCGACGATCGCTCAATAGTCCAATTCAACAGTTTTTCTGGACTGATGTATACCCGATAGAGCAGGACGAGAAGGGCGAGATGACAGCCAGTCCTATAATAGAGGAGCATGCTGTCTGCGATGAGGAGGAATTTGTTTTCCTGTCCAAGGACGAGCATGGAAATCCCGTGTTCAGTCCAGCTCTTCATGCAGCCAGACAAGCTGGGAATGAAGACGCTATTAGGGGGAACTTGGACAATTCTAAGAATATGAAGGCTATGAATTCTTCCGAAAGCAAAGCAGGAATCGAAAATAACGGTGGCGATGATATGGCAGCTGGAGAACACCTGGTTGGAAGAGTCGAAGTTCTCACGATACATGACTTCTGACGAGTTTCGCTGCTGAAGGAGATAGATAGAACTTAGTTAGCTATAGGAAAAAGACGTATCATACTCTTGCATGTGTTTAAGTGGACCGGGCATTTGGATCAACATTGGTTTGTGGACGGCGTCATTCTGGCAGGTTCTGGCAGGGAAGATAGAGGAAGGATACTTTGATGGATGGATCAGCGATCAGCGTATATAAATTCATAGCATAGCAACAAACCGAGCGTAATTGGATCAACATTGGCTTTTGGACGACGTCATTCTCGCAGGGAAGAAAGAGGAGAGGATACTCTGGTGGATATATAATTCAGCGATCAGCGTATATATAAAAAAAAAAGTTATATCTAATAAAAAATATAACCTTACCTAGTACGCTTCATACAAGATGACTTATTTCTTCTATAGAACTTATAGGTACCTATAGGTAGGTAGATAGGTACCTGCTATCTTATATATAGTTTTAAAGTTATATACGTCCATCTCGGGCTGCCTTATAGTAGTGGCGGCCAGTGCCGCTGCCGACATGATCCCGCTGCCGACCTCCCTGCCGACTCCGCTGCCGACTCCGATTAATCGATTACGGTGCCGATGCCGATGCTGCTGTCGCGGTGCCGTTGTCATGGTAAACAATTCCAATCCCAACTCAATTGAGCATCGTGAACATCCATCTTCCATGTCACCATGAAGACGTCCACCACCCGCATTTTCATCATTTTTGCATAGCTTCTTCTGCATCTATCGCATCATTCCATTGCATTGAGTTGCAAGCCATCATGGCATCCCAATATCTTTCGACCCCCGAAACCTACCAGCGAACTCGATCGTCGGTATTGAAGAGTTTCATACACAAGCGAAGTCCCTCCGCTGGGGATGCTCTTCCTCCGCCCACAGATGTGTTTATTGCAATGCCGGCATACGATTGCGGTCCAACTCTACCATTTGTCCCGCAAGAGAATCCTCATAACTCCCGAGCACTAGGTGAGCGGCAAGAGAATCGCCAAAGCCAGCCCCCGCCATCTCCAGCAAAGAGGTCGAAGGAAGGGAAGCGTCCGAGAACAAGCGGGGAGGGAGGATTGCATTACAAGTCATTGCACAAGAAGACCTTGAGCTCTATCTCATTGAAATCGTTGGCAGGAAAGGACGGCACTAGCAAGCCTCCCAAAACCAAGGACGCCGCCTCGATGAGGGCGAAAAAGACAAAGTCAGCGTCCAACTTTGCTACCCTCCTATCGCGTCCCAAGTCCTCGAAGAGCCTCCAGAAACAAGCCTTGGAAGATGAAGCACGAGCAGCAAAAGATAAAGAAAATCGAAGCCCCCAACGAAGCCCCATCATCTCATCCCCTGTTACAGCATGCCGACCACCTATCTATGCCCAGTTTTCCAGCGAGCATTTCACCAAACAACCGTTAGGAGGAAAGTTCGTGGAGGATGAGATAGACCTTTATACACCCGAAAACTACTCGCCGGGCAAGCAACGAAATTTCTACAATGTTCAGGACAGCCAGCCTTCCCTCACCCAGCGCGATGGCGCCCAACGACCAAAATCTACATACTTACCAAGCAATTACAGTGTTCAAGACATTAGCCGTAAGCCGAGCAGAGAGAGTGAAAGACGAAGCGTGGAGCTCGATCGAAGAGATGTGTCTGGGGAGAAGCGGTCGAGTTGTGAGAGAAGAACTACTGAGCCTTCAAACTCTTCCGACAGAGTAGCTCCAAGTAGGGGACAGCGTGTCTTGGCTGCTGTATCCTCCTTTGGAAGTGGCAGCTTGAAAAAGGATGACTCAGACCCTCTTCTGGAAGACAAGGATATCGACCGAGAGTTCGAAGCTATGCTGGACAGACGCAACATCCCAGAAAACATGCGGGGCAAGATGAGGAGCCTTACTATTAAGATGAAAAGAGATTTTGTGAAGCAAGATTGGGCCGAGACAGCTGCTGCAAGAAACAGCAGACCGGGAACTAACGGTAGTAATTCAAGTGCTGAACCTACTACTGATACACACGAGGTCGAAGTCAAGTCTAAGCGGCCTAGAAGTCGAACTTTCACATTATCAAGAGCAAGTAGCAAGGAGTCATCTTCAGGACCCAAGTCAAAGAAGCCAGAGGAGTCGTTTAAACGACATTCTCGAATGAAATCCTCGGATTCGACCAAAGGGGACAATAAGGCATTGACGACAGCTGGTGCCGTCGCTCAAACACTGATCGCGAAAGCCAAAGGTCAAACTCCAGAGGACTTTGTGACATATTTGAGAAAGACCCGACAACCAGAAAAGGTCGAAGTCGGTCGTCTTCATAAGCTAAGATTACTTCTTCGCAACGAGACTGTCGCCTGGACGGATGACTTTGTAGGACAGGGTGGAATGGCAGAGATGGTAGGATTGTTACATCGTACCATGGAAGTCGAGTGGAGGTTAGTAAATATATACCCTGTCCTATCCACCACTAACCTTTTTCAGAGAGGAACATGAAGATGCTCTCCTTCACGAAGTTCTTTTATGCCTCAAAGCACTTTCCACCACGGCACTAGCTCTTGAGTATCTTGACGATATTCAATCCACCCTTTTCCCCGCTCTACTACACATGATCTTTGATGAGGAGAAGAAGGGACCGAGCGAATTTACGACCAGAAATATTATCACGTCGTTACTCTTTACCTACCTCAAATCAGCTCCACTCGCATTACGCACTCTGCGCGCAGAGACAATACTTAGCTATCTTCGCAACCAAGACCCCAGCGAATCCCAACGACCTGTCGACTTTGTGATGGACATGCGACGTCCACGCCCATATACTGTATGGAATAAAGAGGTATCCAACGTCACCAAGGAAGTATTCTGGATATTCCTACACAACTTGAACGTCGTTTCTCTCCCCCGGGTCTCGAAGGACAACATACACGACACCACCTCAACCTCGATCGCCTCCTCTGGTCCCAATGGACTCGATGTGTCTAATCCTTACCATGTATATATGGCCAAGCATTTCCCACCAGAGCTCCCACCAGTACCAGCAGCTCCATATGTTGGTGGTGTAGAATGGGAAGCTACCAATTATCTTGCATCTCACCTTGATCTCGTCAATGGCATCATGGCATGTCTTCCAACTCAAGCGGAGCGTAACGACCTCCGAGAGCAAATGCGCGTTTCGGGCTGGGAGAAGTGTATGGGCGGTACCCTCCGACTTTGCAAGGAAAAGTTCTATGGAGGTGTTCACGCCGGACTCAGATGTTGGGTTGCGGCCGCAGCTGAAGATGGCTGGAACACTAGAGAAGTTCGATGCGGACCTAGCACGGAGGGTTCAAGTCCTAAAAAGAGCCCCAAGAAAGCTGTGCCGGTGCAAGAAGCTCCTAAGATTCAGATGAAGCTTAGCTTTGGGGGTGATGGTCAGACTCGTGAGATCTCCAATGGTGGTGGTGGTTGGCTGTGATTGTTTATGCATGTTTCTTTTCCGTGCGAAGGGTCTTTGGGTTGGAGTTTATGTGTTGCCTTTCTCTGTATCTTGTTTTTTTATGATGCTACGGTCGACCTTTTCTTACCTTTGTTTTCTTCTTGAGAAGGAAGTCGGTGAGGAGGTAAGGTATATGTTCTACTCTCTGAGGTTTTTCTTGTTATGAGACTTTTTCTTTTCTTTTGCATGATTTCTTTTTTTTAGCGAGACGGTTGCCGTTTTGGGCTGTTGAGCTTCTGAAAAAAAGAAATTGGGGAAGGATGATGGAAATGACTTGATGAAAAAGCCTGAGTTGATGATTTTTTTTTGAGCTGCCTTTTTTTGTGGTTGTTGTTTGTTTGTTTTTTGGATTGGGCATGAAGGAGGAGGAGATTCTTGTTATGAGGAGATGAAGATACATTCTTTGGTAGAACGGTACATAAATTGAATATCAAGGGTTTCTTTCCTTACGGTAACTTTGCAGCGTCTTTGTATGTACCCCGCAAGTCGTCATTATTATTATTATTATTATTATTCCTTTTAACGTGCTGTGTGAGTCTGAGACTATAGTAGCACGGCTGGGGGTTTCCCTCCAGCAGATAACTGAAACTGTACTAAATACATGTGTGAGAAGGGAGTTTTGGTGAATACAGTTATTGGGTTGTTGGAAGCAGCGAGGCTTCTGGTTATGACAAAAGAAAGACAAAAAAGAAAGTGTGTTTTAGTACGCCCCCTGCGTTTCACGCCCTATACCACGTTCATTCTCGTCCTCGTCCTCGTTCTCATCCTCAGCTGCTCGTTGTGTGTGCCATAGTCTAGTGGCGATTTTGGTGGTGCGAAGAAAGTCTAGTGTGGCCTCGACTCCTTTGGTGGTGTGAAGGAGGGATTTCATAGTAAACTCTCGAATGTGGTGTTTGAGGAGGTTACGCTTTAGTGCTTTCCTCGCGTCTCCAGTTTCTGGACAGCTAAGGAGTAGGTGAGTAGGCGTCTCTTGTCTTCCACATCTACAGCGGTTGTTGTTGGTATGGCCAAGCTTGTGTAAGTATGATTTGAAATATCCATGGCCTAGCTTAAGCTGGTAAAAAGCACTGGCTATCTCTCTCTTTGTTCCTTGAGGGACGCAAGGTTTCGACAGAATCTTCCATGGGAATTCCCTCCGATACGAGTGTTGATTGGTTGATGGTTCTGTAGAACGGGAGGGTGTAGCAAGCTTTTGGCGCCATTCTTTGCTTTGGATTTGCCTGATCTTGACTCCAAGCATAGCAAAACTTGTGAGTTGGGTGGATGGTTGGATTGTTGTGGCGGCTTTTGCAAGCTTGTCTGCTTTTTCGTTTCCTGGAATGTTGGTATGGCCTGGTACCCAGTGAAGTGTGGTGGTGGCTCCTTTGTTTACTGTCTTCTTAGCTGCCTTAATAGCTCTGATTTGACAGTCTTGCCCTGGGTGATCTGATGTAGTTTTTAGCCGCCATAAGCCTGCTTGGTTGTCTGAGTAAATGTGGAAGTGCAGTCCTGGTCTCGCGTGCTTGGCGGCATATTCGATTGCTAGCGTGGCTCCTTCAACTTCTCCGTTGTAGACGAGCTTGTTTGGGCCAATATTGACTTTCTTTTCATAGTGGATTGTGCTTGATTGAGGGGAAACTACAGACAGGCCTACGCCAATTCCTCGGCTATTTTCAGTTGTTGTAGAGGAAGCGTCCGTGTATATAAAAATACTGTTGTCTGGGTTGTTTTGGAGTAAGCGGAGGTGAAGGTTTGCTTCTTCTTCCTTTGACAGTTTGCTGATTTGTACTCGGTACAGGGTTTCTCTTTCCCATGGAGGAAAGTGGAAGTGACTTAGTTGCTCAAGGTCTTCAAGGTCGTAAAGGTTACTAATGGACCTGTGGATTCGCTGAAGTTGAGGAATAGCTGGCTTCTTTTTTTTGGGAGTTGTCTGGGTATTGAGAAGTTTGTTGGTAGCGTAGTTGATAGGGTGAGCTGGTGAGAGTTTGAGAAGTCGGAAAGCATACATTCTCAGGGAGGCGGAGAGGCGGACTTCGGGAGGCGGGAGAGCACTTTCTACTTCCATTGGGAGGATGGGAGCGGTTTTGAAGACGCCTAATATCTTCCTAATTGCAAGATTTTGGAGCTTTTGGAGTAGGGTAGTGAATTGTGCTTGGCCACGCCACCATATTGTAGACCCGTAGTCAGCGATGCTTGTAACGCATGCTGTGTAGAGCTGTCGGAGTGCAAAAGGGGTAAGGCCTTTTGAGTTATTTGCAAGTCTTGACATTCTGAAAAATGCACCTCTGGCTTTTGCTACCTTAGTAGCGACGTGGTGCTTGAAAGACAGTGAGGGGTCAAAGTAGATGCCTAGCCACTTGATGCTTGGTTTTGGGTGAACTGCCTGATGGTTTGGGAGATTTAAAGTGAATTCTTCTGTGTTTGATTTGGTCCAGTGTATAAGCTCTGTCTTATCGAGGTCAAATGCGATGCTGCTCTCGTCTGCTAGTCTGTAGAGCTTGGTCGTCTACCGGGTAGTGGGCTCAAGAAAATATACGCCCGACGACTTACAGTAGTTAAATATTGATATTACAGAATAGAATGTGCTCTTTACAACTTTCAAATTTTAGTCTACCTTTATACTATACTACTCCCTATAAAACACTTTTAATAGCTTTTAGAAGGGATTCTAAGCAGAAACTCGAGGTAACTCTATAGTTATATTAGCGTTTAAGCTAAAGGGCGGGGAAAGGGTAGGAGGAATTTATAGTAATAATTACCTCTTCGGTAGTTATTATAGTATCTCTAGCTTAAAATCGATATATATATTAAACTTAGAGGTAGCCGCTAGTTTAGTATATTTAATTAATAACTACCTATTAATCCCTTACCTATCTACTAAAAATAAAACAAACGGAGTTAGACTTTAATGTACTTTTTAATACCCTATCTACCCTTAGCGTTACTACTATACTTCTAATATTATTAGTATTAGGTATCCCCGTTACGTAGACTAAATTACTAACTTAGATCTAACTACGATTTAGAGAGGGGGGGGNGGGGGGGGGGTACTATTCTAGTATATTTATAAATAGTATCTAAAATAAGTAGAGTAAAGTAGAGTAGTAATATCTACTCTACTCTACTTAAGGGCTTAAAAGCCCTACTTAACTTAACTTAAGTACTTAGCGCTAAGTACTTAAGTAACTCAAGTAATACTTAAATAGCTCGGGGTTTAGCCGGGCCGAGTCGCCGTAGCGTACCCTAGGTAACCTAGCGAGCCTAGGTACTCCCGCCGGTCCGCCTACTCGGAATTACTATAGCCGAGTTAAGTGCTCCTAGCGAATAACTATTTAGAAGGGAGATAATATTATATCTAAGAACTATAAATAAGTTAATATAAAAAGGAGGCTTTTAAGTTAATAACAAGTTTAAAAAGCTAGGGGACCTTCGTTTGTAAGGAGGGGGAGGTTAAAAAAAGGCTTTCCTTTAAAGATAATTGTTTTATACTTTCCTCGTAGCCAAGTTTTTACTATATTACTTAAGTAGTGAAATTGACTACTTAACTCTACTCTACTTAAGTACTAGTTAAATTATCAATTAGTTTGTTTATACGCTATAAATCACGAATAGATCAAGGATAATAGGTGAAAGTAGATACTATAAACCAAATGAAGTGAATTCTTCGGTGGCTCAGGATGTGGGTTAGTTCAGTTCCCTAATGTAACGACTAATACGTAACTCTCTCTTTTCATTTATTAGTACTATTATGTTTTACCTCTCATATTAATAAGATGACAATCATATTCTTCAGTAAATGGAACTAATACAGTCTCCTATAGGTCCTTCAATATCACTGGTGTACAGTAGTAAGTTCTCCGAGCTTTAAACAGAAAACCCTCATTATTTCTTTACCGGGGATTTTCCAGCTACCTAGTAAAGAGAGAATAGTAGAATATCAAAGTTATTTCTCTACTATATTTTCACAGTCTATTAACGTATACCTGACACCCTATTCCATGGACAAATCATGACCTACGTCGTGTTAAGTTGTTTTATTCTAGTACTAAGGCTTCACTTTACTTTTCTCGGAATACCCGCGAGGAACGAGGTGATAAGGTATCTTCGCTGCTGAATTAGTATTGAATTAGGTCGTCTATAGGAAAATAGTATGATGTATCGTTAGTACTCCAAGAGCTTGATGAAAATATAATAATTTCCAACGGTCCATATAACCCTTCCTACCTAGACTACTACAGTACCCCAGCTAATTACAACCGATCCACATCTCCACTCAATGCCTCCCCTCCTTCTTACCCCTCTCCCTAGAGAGTATCGTCCATCCCTCCAACCCCACTGTCCCCCCAAAAACCTTAAACATATCAGCAAAGCACCAAAGTACGAGTCCCTAAAGGAATATCCTAACCCAACCTAACCTATCAACCACCGAAAACGCCATAACTACAACTATAACAACTACAACTATAACAAACAAACAAGCAAACCAAAAAATATTATTAACTACAGAGTACCCGCCACTTCCACATCATCATCCAGAATACCTTGTCTCCACATGGCATTCACATGGCACCCATGCCATGGTTCCTCTGTAACCAAGACTGAGATAAGCGAGAAAGCCACCAATCAATCTATTAAATCAACCAACTCAACAAAATCAACCAACTCAACAAAATCCACCTAACTCAACTACACCAATCAAACCAACAAAACACACCAAAAACAATAAACAACCCCCCCATAAACCCCCATATCCCCACCAAAACTAAATTCCCAAAAACCGCTACAGTAGGCATAGTATCACCAAGTACAGAGCACAGTTCTCAGAAGCAAAACGACTACTCGTATCCAATAAGAAAGGTATTTACTCGTACAGTAGTAGTACAAACATGATACATCCATCTCACCCCATATTCCCCAAAAGACTACCTAGAGATAACATAAAAATGAGAAACCCGTACTCGTAGGACGTAATTTTAGGAATTCGCGAAGCTATACCATTATTCCTCTTCCTCTTACCATCAACCATCATCATCATCACTCAATCAATCACCAGGAAAAGAACAAGAACGACATAAATACAATCCCCAAAGAAATAAATAAAAAAGGTATTCATTCTACGATTCTTTTCCTTCCTACCTCCTATTTCATAAAAAAGAAAACTACCTAGGTACTAAAAAACGATAATCAACCAACTACCCATCCCTAAATGCCATCCAGAATTTCCCATCCGTACGTATAAAACAATACGGCATGTATAGAAAAAAAACCCCTCCCTCCTAACCCCCACCCCCAAAAACAAACAAACATCCATGGCCTCAAAAAGCCAACTAAGTGATCAATAAATCCGATATATAAAAAACGACCGAACAAAAAATATAAAAACAATCAAAGGGGGTATGTGTGTCCAAAATAATGCGATCCCACCACCTTCAGTAAACAAACCCAGCTAGCATAGGTAATGGTACAAAAACAACAGCAGTGCAGGCCATCACCTCGTTATATATGTAGAAAAAGCGCAACTCCGGAAAAATTCGTATTTTGTGATGTGGCGAAAGTCAAAATATGGTGGTATCTTCAAAACAATAAATATATGTAGAGAATAAAATGCAGGAACCGTACAATCCAATTCGGGCGCCAGTGAAGGGGTTTGGAAAAGGGGGGAAGAGTTTAACTCTCTTCCATAATTCCTCCTTCACCACCACCTTCTTCGCGCCACTCTCGGCTTCGCTCTGTCAGGCGTTTCACGCCACTGACTCGACTAGACCATAATTTTTCGACTGGAGTTCGGAAAGTATATCCTCTCTGGCTACTAATAACACCAATAGCCTGTAGGACAGCTTTCCTACTGTCCCTTCCAAAAACTGCCGGATGATTGATCCACTCCAAGCTAGACTCGAGCTCAGCATCAAGAGCAGCAACAGTAACTGGATCAATACCGGGAGAAGAGTTCATAGCCAGAGCATCATTGGATGGAGGACGTGGGATGGATTGGCTTTTGTTTGGGACTGCTGAAGTAGGCGAAGGTGTACGGCGACGATCGGGGGCGATGGAAGATGTGGGGGATGTTCCCTCGTGACCTGATGAATTTGGGGACTTCGAAGGAGGAGGAGGGATCGGTGGTAGACCTCCTTTTCCAAGACCTTTGAGAATGGATCGAGTTTCATTCAAAAGATGCTGTGCCCGGTCATGTTGACCCCTTGAGACCAATGTGAGGGCTCTAGTAAGCATATCTGATGTGAGGAGTTCCATACGTCGTTGAACAATGCTTGGATGTGGTGGAATTGTTGGAGCATTGGGCCATTGGGCCATTGAATTTGTCCTTTGCTTTGGTGTTGCTGGGAGCATAGTGATGGCAAGAAGGGAAGGTCGAGCAAGCTGGGTGAGGGTGCCATCTCGAAGGATATCACCCCATGTCAGATCAGCTTGAATCAGAGGAACTTCTTCAATTGACATGGTCCGCTGATCATCCTGATCGAGAGGTCCACCAAGTGATTCAAGCCCAGAGATGATTGTCTCCCAAGGATCCTGTGGTAGCTGTTCTTGGGAGGCATTGTCGGGGGCAATGACCAGCTGCACGAGAATGTCTCTCTTGTCTCCGAATCGCATGTCACCGAGGGACGCCTCTGCATCTCTTCCGGCAGCGCGTTTCGTGATTTGAAGCGCGCCACTGATCTTTACAAATTTGGCTGGTGAGCCTTCGGGTAGCCTGAGCTTCAATTTGACGTTTTGGTGAGACATGGCTTGAAGGGAACCGATACAGCCGGCAACACATTCTCTTAACATCATCCAATCTTTCACGTAAGTATATGATGCTTTGGTTCGCGTTGAAAGTTCGATCATGGTATCTGGCTTGTGGGTCATCCCGAGTCCGAATGAGTGGATGGCAATTCTATCATGATTAGTAAAAGGACGGATCTCTGGAGATGAAAATACTTACTTGGCCGCCTCTGCTCTTGATACAACAAAATCAACACTCTCTGGGTCAGAGGTTGCTGAATCGCTGATCAAGAGAATGGTGGCGATTGGGTTGTTGGATTTGCGTTGCATGAGCAAGTCCATGGCCACATTTGCACCCTCTACAACGTCCGCTCTGTGGCTCTTCTGTCCAACAGGTCTGATAGAAGCCAGGACACCCGACCATCCATTCCAAGTCTTGCTGGTCATCCCTACTAAAGGCGCCGCCCCATTGCTGGAGCCAAAAGTCACGAGACCCATGCGATCGCGATCTCCTAACTGTGCCACCATAAACTTGAGCGCATCACGCACCAAACTTATCTTGACTCCTTGCATGGATGAGGATATCGGGACTACGACCACAATATCGAATGGTACGTGCACAGCGGCGGGTAATCGTACTCCTTTCCCGCTGGTATAGTCTGTTGCGGCTGTGGTCGCGGATCGCTTATCATATGAGGAGGAATTGGTAGAGACTCGCTTTTGATCATCAATCTTTTGCCAATCATCTTCCTCGTTTTCTGAAAGATCATAATCGGGGCTGCGGGCGGGAGAGCCTTCGATGGCATTCAAATCGAGCAGGGCTTGATGCCATAATTTTAACTGGTTTCGGTTCTCGAATTTGAGATGGAACGAGGGGAGCTCAGTTACCGAGAGACTGAGTGTCAAAATGTTATCTTCTACAGGGCGCAGGTTAGATGAGGTTATCTTTTCTGTTTGTCCAAGATTGGCTTTACCACTACCTGATTCCAAGACCTCGTTGAGATGCTTTTTAATCAAGATAGATCCTTTGAGCGTACAACGAGTATGTTTACGAATGTGCGTTGTATCTTCCCAGCCCTGGGGTATGTTTACTTTCTTTTCTTTAACGCAAATGAGCATTTCGGCGAAGAGATAACACTCCAGCTCCTGCCATGATTGCTTATCTTTTCCTACGCGAATCGTTCCGTAAAGACGAAGCTTTCCGAATCTGTTGTTTTGTCAGTACCCGCATTTGCAACATATCTGGTCAAAACTAAATTTACCTATTAAAATCGAGACCGTGCCAATTCTCCACTCTCATTCGAAGACCTTCGGTGATTTCATCTAATACTTCGGGCGACTCGTAAGGATAGAATCGGGGGGCGCTTTGAGCAGGTGAAGGTGGTCGCGCGTATGTATCTTCTGGCCGCGCGGTAGGAGTAGGGGGAGTTGCCCTTAGATCATCAGGATCCGGTCTCCACTTGTTGTCAGGTATCTCCACGGTAACTAGACAAGTTAAAGTTTGCTGTTGCCGTGACCGATTCAGGGTGGGAAATTCCGATCGCACGCTGACAGATGGAGGCGGAATTGGATTTCTAGATACACTTGCCCTTGGGCTCGCAATGCTCGCTTCCATCGATTGCACGTCGTAGTCGTGTCGACGTGAAGGGGCACTGGCGGCCGTTTCTGAATAGCCTACTGAGGAATTGGTTCCTGTCATCTCCGAGTCGTTTCGACGATGTCCTTGGGGCGGATTTGCATATCTTTCCGCCGAATCTCTGCTGCTCGCATTGTTATTTGGAGCTCGCCTATCCAAACTATCTGACCTCTCCCTCTGCTGCTGCTCTCGGCTCGATGATCGTATCGTCTGGTTGTCCCATGGGGTGGGAGTGGTTTGATTTGACCGAGGAACCTCGTTTGATGCAACTGACCGTACAATACTACTTAGCTTCTCTGCACAATGAGGGATCAGTATGATTGAGTTTTTGAACGCACCAGTACCGAAAGTCTTACCAATGTCTAAAACATTGCCTCCTCGACTCGTATCCAAACCCAAGGGCGCATTGCAGGTCGGGCAATACTGCGACTCGAATTCTTTGATGTACTCGTAAAAGCAGGCCTCGTGTGAGACGTGACCGCAGGAGAATTGGAGAATACGCTCGCCGCGAAGGGTGTGTTCCAGCGGCTCCTCGCATACTGCACATTCACTGCCGACGAATGTTCGTTCCCGCCTCGTGCGGCTCCTGTCGGCGTCCAGCATACCTGCCATTCCACCACTTCCGGCTCGACTGCGCAAATCTCTCGACCCTTTGATGGTTTCTTTATTCTCCCTTGCCGACGGCGCTCTCCTCGATGTCGAACGGTCCAGACGATGCGTGCTACTAGAGAATGAAGCTGCCGAAGATGGGATTAGTCGACGTTGACTGGAGTGATCGGAAAAGGAGTCCATTGAGCAGGAGCGAGCGATTGAGGTACGACTCTTCACTCTATGGGATTGCTCAAAGTGGTTTACGGAGATAGGAAGAAAGGAGGGATGGGAGTACGTACCCTTTTGGGGATGCGATCCTACAGCGCGGGATCCACCTGGTAATATGTCCTTGCCCTTGCTCTTCTCTCGCCTCCTGCTATTTCCCTTGTCGGTGTGGGTAAGGAGACCGAGCTCATACAAGGCTTGAACCTGGGCCTCTTCTTTGGATGTTTGGGCAGCGTTATGAATGGGTGTGGGAGTGAAGGGGCCACGATATGAAAGACTACTGCCCAGAAGACCGTTCCTCGACATGTAAAAGGCGGGCGGGGGACGCTGAATAAGACTACTTTATGCCGGGAGAGCAGCAAAGCCAATAACACCAGACGAGAGACACCTGCGAGTTAGCGCAGGCTCAAAGCGTTTGGCAGACCAGATAGGCGTTTGAATTCAGTTCAGGCTCCCCACAGCGGAGTCGGTATGGAGCCCTTGCACGCGGTCGCGGTCCACACTGATCCAGTGTTCGTTTCCAGTGGGCCAGTCCTTGGGAAACCTCGAGGCGTCGGGCGTCCTGCCGGAGCTGGATGGGCTTTCCTTGGAGGCGAGTGGAGTATGTTCTTGGAGTTGCCGTGGGTTTCAAGGACGCTCCTGGGTGCTCCTGGGTACTCGCGGGTGCTCGCGGGAGCTTTGGTTGGAGGGTGCTGGTCAGTGGCCACTGGTGGGCACTGCGATGGGCAGACTAATCGAAAACCTACAGCGTGGTCAGGGCGCCGCCAGGTAGGGTGGTTCCTGGTTTCCGTCGTGGGCCAGGGACGACAGCGACGATACTGCTCCGTACTTAGCACCCTAACTGTACTGTGGTGGCCAGTGATCTGGGTGGTTGAGAGATCGCTTTGGCGACTGGTCACTAGTACTCGTACCGTAGTCTGCTGGCCAGCTAGTCAGGCCCTGGACCGCGTGGGAAAGGGAGAAGATGCTGGAGATGTCGATGGAGATGGCAATGGCGGTTCTTGGTCCGTGGTCCGTGGCCGTTATTTGCCAGCTAAATTTAACAGCGGAACACTTCGCAGGCTACTCTTAGCTCTACCAGTAGGACGGTGTTGTGTGGTGTCGTGTAGTGCAGTGTCTGTTCTGGTGGTGCCGAAGGATCAGGAAGTCAAGTGCAGATGGGATGGGAATGGGGATACTCTCGGCGGTGACGGGAAAGCGGGTGGGGTGAGGATGAGGTTTGGTGATGTTGCAAGATGAAGAAGAGAGATGAGTGAGAGTGCGCTGTGGATGATGAAGGATTGCAGGTTGGTTGCTAATTACCTACTGCCCGCAAGCAATTACTCCGACTACTGTGCAGTATTGCTGCTCTACTCGCACTCACTCTGCCCGCCATGGCATGGGTACTCCGTAACTACCAACCTTCAACCAACACCAACACCACCACCACACCCATCCGGCGTACGGAAAGGATGGAAGGCAAGGCAAGGCAGGCAATTACTGTAAGGATACGATGCTGCAGCAGCACCACCATCCAAAGGTGGCAGTGACGGAGCCGTGGCACACCACCACCACACATGGAGAATCCTCCGCAGGGGCGCATCGTGAGGTGTGGGTGGCAGCGAAGGACAACACTCTGCTCTGTCCGTGATGCTCTATTGTATCATCGTCCATCCTGATCGTCATCGTGGCCCTTCTCGCGATCCTGAAAGACGCGATGTGGTGCAAGTGAGAGTCCATCTCATCACCCCTCTGGTGTCTCTAAGGATCTACCGAGTACTCGAGTAGAGTATGAACCCACGAGTTCATCGTCATGGCAGGCACCGGAGTCAAGCTTTCGATGTGCAGCTTCGGGCGAATCTGAGAGTTGCGACATCATCTGGAGGCGGGGCTCTTCCAAGACTTTGCAAAAAAACATAAATCGGCATCAGCCGACTTCTTAGCTATGGACTTGCCTAGAGCAGCCATCTAGTCCGCACGCTTGGACCTAACAGTAACTGTCACAATAACGTCTAGCTTGCATTTGTCGTTGCAGTACAGCTACTCCGCGCTAGCTTTAGCTGCAATGCACTGCACCTACAGCCTACCACCACAGCCTACCACCACAGCCTTCCACCACAGCCTACCAGCGACAGTAGCTCGCTTCTCAACGTCCACGGGTCCGGCACTAGCGAGCTAGCGATTAGCATACTGCCACACTAGCCCTAATTTGCGGATGGACGTTGTCGGGTGATGTAAACTACCTACCCTAGTCCCTGGTAGTCCTATAGTACGGGACACCTAAAGTGAACTATACGAAAATAAATTCTCGACTACTTCGACACTTCTACTATAATACTACTATAATAACAACACTTAATAATAATAAGTTTAATAGTAAAAAAGGTACGCCTAAATTAGCTACACAAAACGCACTTACTAGTTTTATTTATATAAAATCATATAAAATGTAGGGCTTACTACATACGTAAAAGTCTTGGTAGTTTTAATTTTTTTAAGAAATTTTTTAACCCCCTTATAATAATACTTAACTAAGGCTTATATAAAAAATTTTGTAAGTATATTCTTATTCTTTTAGTCTAATTACTCTATTTAGCTAATAAGAATATCGTTTATATCGCTAACTTAAAAACTCTTTTAACTAAGTGGTCGAGAATTAGTTTTAGTATGGTTCACTTTGGGTGTCCCGTACTGTAGGCTTAGGTTAGCCGTTTAGGGATCTGGGAGCCGGCTCCTGCATTTCAACGACAGTCAGCCCCGCCGCCGATTTCTTACCGGTACTAGCAACACCTGCACTTCCTCATGAACACCATCCGGGGGCCTGTGATACAGTACCATGCCTGGTACGAAGTATTATTTCAGGAGCGTCTGCAGCTTCGGGGCGTGTGGCGAGTGGGCGAGTAGGCGAGGCGTTAACCACCAGTGAGTGTGCCACAAGGTCCCTCGCACTGCTTCTACGGCAGCACTATGGCGGGCACAGCCGTCACCTCACGGTTTCTCTTACCGATGTCTGAGACGTTGATGGACATGTCTCGCCCTGCCCTACCCTACACACTAAAACACTCAACAGGTACGAGTACGCTTGCATGCAGGTACTCGACGCCCTCTGCCCTCTGCCCTCCGCCCTCTCGAGGCTCTCATTAGTACGAGTACGGTCCTTAGGTAATCAGCGATCAAGTGACGTGTGGTTAGTGAAAGTTCAACTGCTATAGCTATTCCTCATGGTGCATCCTAGAAGTACTTCAAAGTAGATGCCAGATTCCTCAAATTCATGTCTTCCGTTTCTCATGCCTAGAGACAGCCAAGAGTCGAGGAAAGGCGAAGAGTTAAACCACGCTATGCCAAGAGAGCCTGGGATTGATGCCTGGGCCAGGACGCAGTGCTTGTACTCTCCCCTGCGAGAGCGTGTGGTGAGTGATATCTCTGCATGGGTCACTTCCATGGTGATGGCTGGTGGTGGTGATGTTGATGGTGATGGGAAACATCCTTCTCGTTGAAGCAATGAAGCGAGCCTGCGAGGCCAAGTCGCAGAGACCAATAATGGGGCATAATGGGGCATAATGGGCTTCAGTGTCTGCTTCACGAACTCCCATTTGCACTTCTGACCAGCATCAATACCAGTAGCAGTGCTTGTATTATAGCCCTCAAGGGTCATTCTGCCCCGTCCTGAGTCCTTGGCCCAATTCTGTCTAAACACTGTGAGCTTCTGCGTCCGAAAGTTTCAACTCCACCGCCCGGGTAACCCGCAACCCCACGAATTCAGCAGAGTAGAGTACTAGGGAGGACCCCGTCCCCGTCCTCCAAAACACCGACTCGGAACGGACAACAGATCAAAGAGAATCCCTTTTGACAGCTGCAATGTAGCGCTATCTCTATCGTGCGCTACCGAGTACTGCGCACCGCGGCAGATGTGATCACTGACCACCCACTGCATCAAAACATCAAGGTGTTCGTTTGTAACATTATACCGAAGTTTGGTCGACGCCACTTATCTTGCTTTAACCATCGGCGTCGGCAAGCTTTTGCTTTATCTGGCTCTTACTTCTAAGTCCTACTATAATACATATTAACTAACCTAATATAGCAACTAGGACGTTCTAAGCCTTCTGTCGCTCGGAGTACTTAAAATACTAAAGTAGCTTTATTAACTTATTAACTATATAAAAAGGTACCTAAAAAGGAGTAGAATTTACAGGTAATAAAGACTTATTAAAGTACCTTGCCGCCGCGACTTCAAAAAAATCGAAGAAACTTTAGTATTTATAAATAATAATAGGTAAAAAGATACTTAATTAAATAAATAACTTCTAGGGGTATATATATATACCAAAACGCTAAAATACTAAAACAATTAGATAATAATTTCCTAACTATATAACTATACCTACGAAGAAGCCTAGTGAGGTCCGCGGGAAAGGGGGCTTATAATATATAAAAACCTACTTAGTAATCCTTTTAACTAGTATTGTTATCTTTATAGCTATAAGCTTCTATCTTCGTAATAGTCTTATTTATCTACCGTAATTCGTAGGCTTATAAAATAAGGTTATTCCTACTTCCTAGCCCTTAGATAGAATAAATACCCTAGGTTAATATCGGATAATATTTGTAGTACTCGGAATCGTAATATCGATTATTAATTACTTCTATATACTTATAATAGAACCTACGAAGATATTATTAACAGAGAACTATCCTAGGCTTATACTTATTCTACTACCTAGCTACTAGTCGATTATAACTTATTTATATACTTAAAATAGTAATATCTTATTCTTCATAACTACTTTTAGTAAGAAATAACTATATAAATTTAGGGAACGTACCCTAGGGGGCTTAAGTCTAAGAGTTATACTATATTAGTAGAAGTATTAGCGTAAGTATATTCTCGCGGACTCTTTATATAGGTAGCCTTTCGAGTAAAAGAGGCGTAAAAGTAGAGGCTAACTACTCTATCTCTAAAGGTAAACCGGTAATAAATAAGGGTTTATACTATTGCTTATATTATTACTAAGTTAAGGCGGTCTCTTTTTATACTTAAGTAGTAAGGGTATAAGAAGATACTTAGTATTATTATTCTTAAAGATTATTCTAATTAAAGGATAAATAATATACTAATAATAATAGATTATTCTAAGCTATCTTATTCGTTTAACTAAGCAAACCATCTAGATTATATCTTATATAGTATACTAAAAGCGCGAGCTATATAGTTAGTATACGCTATTAGAGAATACTAAGCTAGATCACGATTAAGTTTATATATTCTAGTTACTATTAAAGTAATAGCTCTATTATAAATATATAGCTTAATAAGCTAAAAAATAGAATAGTTAGATTTAGTAATATAATAATCTCTTTACCTAGTAGTAGTATTCTTAATCGTCTAGTATTATATATACTAAAAGGAGGTTAGACGTTAATATGCCCTAAGGAGGTCTATAGTTAATATAGAAATATACTACTTTATATAGGTATAGAGCCCTTTAAGTCTACTAGTAGTAGTGTTTCTATATACTAAATTAGCCTAATTTATAGAATTTAAAAGTTTATCTTCTATATGCCTAAAGTAAAGACTATTATTAACCTAGTATATTACGAGTTTCTCTTTCTATAGTAACTAAGTACTTATATAGTACTTAATTATATCTTTAAGATAGCCTTTTTATTACTACGCTAAAAGCTAGCGATTCAACGTCTCTTTAGTAATAGAATCTAATAACTTCTCCTACTTATCTACGAATAATATATATAAGGGATAGTCCTTCTATTCCTAGCCTACTAGCGTAGTATAAGGTTTTAGAAAGAATCGCCGAGTTTTTAATTAAACGTTCTAAGTAATATACTACTAGTAAAGAAGGTAATAAAAGTTAAGAAATACGTTTATAAGAGCGTTTATTAAAACTAGCTCTTAATTTATTAAATAAGTAGATAGAGGCTTAATATTATACTTAACAATAAGCTCTTTTAGAGCCTCTATTACCTAAACGTAATTCTACTTCGTAGCGCTATAAAGAAAGTATATAGTAATAAAAACTATTAAATCATTTCTAGTTACTCTACTAATATTTAGTATTAGTAGACGTATATTATTTATATTAAAGGTAGAATTAAGGAGTAGGAGATTAGGGTTCGCTTTATATAATTTAATAGAAGCTAGATATATATAAAATAGATATATTAAGGTATTATTTTAGAAGTGTTTTTACTATTATATAAAGAACCCCTAGGCCTTAAGATTATAAATTAATTACTATATAGAAGTTAATTTACTAAGTATCTTAATCTATACCTTCTATAAAATATTAGAGATATTATTTACTATTAACTTATAAGGATCGCTATCTATTTTATATAAGAGTAACTAAAGGATTTGTTTAGGACTAAGGCTAGATATATATAGGTTTATAATCTCGAACCGCTTTTCGACTATTATATTTATTCGAACTTAGGGTAAAATATACGAATTAATTAGTCCCTATACTAAAATTAGCTAGTATTTAACAAAAGAGAATATTACTTATCTAAAGAGTAATAAGTATATATAATTATAGTTAGTATTAAGTATATAGAATAACTACCTCCTATCTAACTATAGTACTAACTCTATTATATAAGAATAGTTTATTTTATAAGAACTCTCTTTATATATTTTTAATAAGTAGATAC